TAGCGTAATGACGGTTGAACTCGGATTTGGAGAAAGTGAGCTCCTGCGACGTACCCTATTTTCAGGTGTATAAGCCGCACCCTTTCGATCTAAAAGCGAACACGCCAAAAGACTGAGTGTCATCATGGAGCGCGTTAAGTGAGAACAGTATGCGATAAGGCAAACGCTTCGCGAGACATACGCGCGGCGACACGCCTGGGTCTGCTCGCGTTTAGCGCAAAAAGGGTGCGGCTTATACACCTGAAAATAGGGTAATTGGTTGTGTCGATTGTTGTTGAATCGTAAATAAGCTGGCTAGAATACTCTCTAGGTCATCTTTCCTCAACTGCACTAGATCTTCGATCACTGTGATTCTGAAACACCGTAAGATTTGGATTGAACATAGAGGGATTCGTCGATTAGGATCGGACATATCAAGGCGACGCGAAAACTCGGCAGCATATCCCTCCCCGAGCCAAAGATACTCCAAACCCCGCCCTTTACGGTCCAAATTATTGGCCTAAAATCGCGTTACGCTAGCATAACACCTCGAGCAAGGCTGTAACCCAAAGCAATGACTCCTCTAACAAGAACTCTTACCTACGTGTTAACACGTTTCGGACCGCGAAATCGCGCGCGGCGAAAACAACCATTAGCCAACAAAGTGACCTTATTTCGTAGATAGACTATGTGCTACATCTGTAATCAGCTTGTCTGATAAATTCCATACCCAAAGTTCTGAGTGGATTGGAAGTGTTTGAATTTTGTCGCTTAAGAAGAACTTCTGTACTTTCCTGAGAGATAGGAACAAGATTTCAGTTTGTGATAGTATCCAAAAGTATCTATGTTGTAGACGGTACACATCAGTATTAAAACAACGGTTTTTCTCTTTGATATCGAAGCAAAGAAGAGTTGCGACGTCGCACGCGTCGTTCGCGTCGCCGCACTTCGTTGCAACTGTTGTTCGATTTGTGCTCATATCTCCTAAACAAATACAGGCGGCACAACTCTACAGAGTCATTTGAGAAGTAGAAGCTTAGGCCTTTGACTTCATAACTTTGAACTAAAAGAAAACTTCCTGTTAACGTCAAAAAGATCCTTTAGAGCAACGTGCTGCACCATGTGCAGCACCGGTCCGAAACGTGTTAAGCCTTGCAAAACGAAAAATACGTTCCCGCCATGTATGCTTTGGACCTTACTACTATACTATGGCCGTGAACTCGAGACGCTAGCGACGCGGACTCCCGCCATCCAATTTTGGCCTGGTTAGGATTGGGGCAGACTGTATCAGATTCGAAAACCGATAAAGCAGTTGCGACTGAGAATCTCCTTGTTGAAGGCATCGTCCACCGAAAATGGGATTGATGGGATTTCGATACCTAACAGTAACGGACCCCAATTGTATACTTGCCCAACTCGAACTGTCAAAAGTTGCTTCCGAAGCGGGAAAATTGCTTCGGAAATAGCTTCAGATGATGGATGGATTTGCATTGTTGGCTCCTCCTCTTTGAGTGGGCGTGACCCGTCCACTCCATCTTTGCACGCATACACTTCGGGGAGGGGCGGGTGTCATAGTATACTCTTCGTCATCGATCGATATCGATTTTATCAATTTTTATCGTTTTTGCAGAGTTCACCTAAGGGGCTGGCATTTGGCACAGGGGGTAATCGAGCATGCTGATTACGAATACATTATTAGTTTCTAGAATTATCCATTACTTTTATCGATTTTATCGGTTTTTTGCAAAGTTTGAGCTACGGGGCTGGGGGTTGGCACAGGGGGGTAATCGAGCATGCTGGTTGAAGGCAGTGGATCGGCAAAACTTGACAACCCAGGATTTTTACGCAGTAGGTTCCTTATCGTCCAAATATGAAAACAGTGCAGTCCCGATTGCACAGCATAAATTCCCTGTCGAGAAAATCGCTCTCAAATTTACAAGCGCAAGCCAATCTCACACGCGCCAGGACGAGTTGGCAACTTCCTTCTCACCACTGGAGGCTGCCCACCGCAGTGCTATAATCATCAGGTCCCAACGATCCAGCGTCATCAGCTTTGCTCCACTCGTCCAATTTTGAGGGGAAGGGCGTTATAACGCTCGTTTTCAAGCCCTCTAAAGCGGATATTCGTGATCAGCGTATTGAAACCCCAGGTAAGCGGAAATTTGACTATGCTGAGATTTACCGAGCCATTGCCTTCAAGTCGAATCATTTTATATGCTCACCAGTGCATCACCTCTGCTTCACAGAGGTTCGCACTGGCTCTACTATCCGCGCCTTCTTCGTGATCGCATAGTAATGAATTTGAAACTCACCGCGCGATGCTGAACATCACGAATGAATTGTAAACAACCATTCATTTTTAGAGCTTATCCATGTAAGATTGGTAATTTTGGGAGAAAAGATTTTCCCGCAGAAAAACAAATGCGATTCTGAATGAGTTACTGAATTTATTTTGGCTTTATATCTTACATATGAAGCTGAATGTCTGTCTGTCTGTCTGTCTGTATGTCTGTCTGTCTGTCTGTACGTATGCTCCGAATAGAAAATTCCATTTCTGAACCGATCCGGACCAAACTTGGCACACATACACATCGGGCCCCGGCGGGTGTCATAGGCCACTTTTCGTCATTGATCGATATCGATTTTATCGATTTTTTGCAAAGTTTGAGCTACGGGGTGGGGAGTTGGCACAGGGGGGGGGGGTAATCGAGCATGCTGATTACGAATATAATAATGACAGGGCCGGGCGGAGCCGGGTAAGTCAACTACTTCGCCATAAAGATAAAGACCACCTTGGGCTACATATCTATTCAAAAATCCTCTCAATTTTTATAGTAAAAACTTGGCAAGTCGACAATTTGCTCAGTTACATCTTTTTGGTGCCAATTTTGTGCAATAATGGACTTTTGCTTACTTTTTGAGCTGAAGTTAATGTTTTTCGGATTTACTTGCTGAATAATTCCACGACTTTGCAAAAAGTCCAATTACCGACCCATTTTGGGGGGCCAAAACTAACGTGGATCCGTTTGACGCACAGTTTTCGATGGTTCCGCTTACTGGATCGGCTTGTGATTTTGCATAGTTTACCTACGCGCTGACAGGATGCTATGACCAAAATTCTAGATCAAGAGGCTGGCTGCAACTCACTCTGTGAATTTCGTGACAGACAGATATACACACACACAGAGACAAACAGACAGACGCTTAGCGCTTTATTATAGGTCATGATGTGTGGCAGTGCACGCACCGTTCATTTTTTGCGTTCTCTCCTGGATTTTCAATCGCTAAAAGTTCATATCACTTTAAAGGCAGTGTCCGGGCAAAATGGGGGTTCTGAGATTTCTCTGCCATGTGAAAGTAGCCCCCCTGAGACACAACATCGCGCAACTGCGAGCATAAAACGTTCGACCTAAAGCAAGAAAAACGATTGCAAATTGGGGAAACTTACGCCTTGGGGCGGGGTCCTCCGAGTTGTTTGAATTCCTGCCAGACGGCAGAGTACGTATGCCGCCACAGTTAAAAACCGTGCGCTCTTTGCAACCTCTGCGTCTTAGCCTGGCGGGGATCCCCAAATTTCGAAATGTGAGGACTTGGAAAATGCATGTTCTCGCCGTTTTCGCGCCTTCTGATGTGGATTTTCGGATTCAGCGTTGCGGATAACCCCAGATAAGTTGATTTTTTAGAAGTCGAGTTTCTGCCCGAACACTGCCTTTAAGGTGATTAGTACCTAGAAAGAGTAGATAACATTGAAAAAACATCGAAAGCACTTACTTGAAGGGCTACCATCTCCAAGAATCCAGGATGGGAGCGCCAAAGATAGAGATTGTGTGCAATGACTCACATGATCATATGAAGTGATTCGACTATACGAATACAATATTAGCATCTAAGATTATCGATTATTTTATAGATTTTATCGAATTTTTTGCAAAGTTTGACCTGCGTGGCTGGGAGTTGGCACAGGGGGGTATTCGAGCATGGTGATTACTAATACAATAATAGTTTGTAAAATCGTCCACTACTTTTATCGATTTAATCGATGTGCAAAATTTGAGCTACGGGGCTAGGAGTTGGCACAAAAAGATAATCCAGCGTGCTTATTACTAACACGAGATAGGATAGGAAATTAGGGATAGGGAATTGCATGTAGAAGCGGGCACAGAGAAAGGTTGTACAGGGATAGGGATGGGATCTTTATCATAGTGTTTTGACACTGCCGGGCGGAGCCGGGTAAGCCAGCTAGTTTATAAGAAAGAAAGATTCTAGTCATAATTCTTGTTCATGTAAAGCAGGACGATCAGGGTGAAAGATTCAAGTCAAGAAAGTACACCTCTTGGGCTTGATACTTGACATCTTTATAACTTTATAAATTTATTCAGATTTTAGAAGGAAATATATTGGATAGTTGCATGATTTCTTCAATCTTAACACCTTGAAATCAATTCAAAACAGCAATTAACTGATACTTTTTGAAGACTCGCATACCACCAAACTGGGGTTTTAAGTTGGTGACAGAAAGAGAAATCGCACTTCTTGATCGTCTCCCGAGGATTTGGATGGACGGTATTTTGAAGTTATTTTAAGTGTGTGGCGTGCAGTCACGCCAAACGCGCAATTACTTTACGTCTACTACTGTACCATTTCGATGACCTGTTGGGTACTATGATACAGATTTCACTCTTTCGGTGGCAAAATCGGTGGTGTCTTGGCCAGTGAAGGGTACGAATGTCGGTGTCAGGGTGGAGCTTCATCAGTTTATCTCGTCTAGAATTTCTGTTCATTTTCACCTTCCGTCGAATACAGCTGGACGAGTTCGCTCGACCTACAGCCGTCGGCCCGCTATCGATCTGCGTTTGCATTCATCGCCATATTGAATTCGTTTTTCAGTTTACTTTTATAAGTCCTCTTTGAAAGTGTTTATTATGAGTATGCATTCCTATCCAATCGCCACATCCGCTGCTCTTTTTGCGACTTCAATTTACAATCGATGGAAACACGAAGGGTCCTTTCTGACTTCTCATGATTTTTTCTTTTTAGGGTCTCGTTTTGGCTCTTAGATTTGTAGCATAATGTACGGATACGGTCAAGGAAGTTATGGGTGAGTTACTGATGTCATCATATCTTATCATTTCATCCAAACTCGCATGGCACATGTTTGCTATAGTATCGAATCAAATTTAACATCTGGTCAATGTCAATCGATCTACGACCATAGAGTTTCTTGTGAAAGTTTTTCACAGTGTCCCAGACTGTGGTTACCGTTAACAAACTTAATCTTTTTTATTAGGAGTTAGTTACACGGTGCGCCGTCATTCTCCCATCCCGAAACTGATCAAACCAAAGCGATTATACTAATCATGTGTGGAAATGCATCTACTATCATAAGCAAAAGTCTGTAGTAGCTGAACTCAACAAGAGAAACAAACGCTACTAAAACTTCAAGCAGAAAATAAATTTACGTAGAATTTTGCATCATCTGTTAACCACTCTCAGATAAACGAAAATCAAACAAAACGCGAAAGGGGCACCCGTGCTAGAACGGATAAGTACCACATCTTATACGCAAATGTATTCGATGTTTGTTCTCTTAATCGCTTCCTAAGCTAGTCACTAGTTTCTTGATATGGTTCATATTCGGGGTTCTGTTGCTTTACACTCGCACCAGATGTTCTTTGTGTTTGCTCCTTCCTATGTAATGGGTTTCTTCTGATGCGCATTTTGGAAGTCATATTCATTAACTGCTCTAAAATTACTCGCATCGTCTCGGATCAAACTAACTTAATATAATCCAGAAATTATGGGTCGGCATATACTGCCGCTGCCGCAGCTGCTGCTGTTTACGGGAATTTGGGGGTCGGACAGTCTACACAAGCTCAACAGCAATCAAATAGCGTTTTCGGGTAAATTTTCTTTCTAAAATGCCCTTGAGAGTGTCGAGTATCATGTTTGTTGAGTTCTAGGTCATCAACTACTAATCCATATGCGACATATGGCAATTCTGTTGCTGCGTCATACGGTTATGGAAGCCAGTCTACGAATGCTGCTTCCGTCTACGCTGCTCAAGCTGCTCAGGTGAGTTACTCCCAAATTTTTGTAAGGTATTAGGACTCCAGTACTAGAAGCAAGCGTAGGCCCGTGTCACTGTAATGACTATATCCGCCAGGCCGTTCTAACTTCCACCTATTCTAATTCTGTGCTCTTTTGCAGGCACAAGTGCAAGCCTCGCAAGTAAGTCGTCTATCTGCTGACGCTGCATATGCTGCCGCTGCCGGCGTTGCTCCTAGCCAGTACTCCGCTTTCGGCGCTGGACAGCTTGCAGGTAGTTGAATTTTGGTGTACTTCTGAAATCTTATGCATAGCAGCGCATAGCAACGAAGAATTCTGCTGTCCCTTGCTCGAAAAACAAGCTTTGAGGGTTTTCGAGAACTTCTTATTTTGGCCGATCTTTGTAATTTTTTGTTACTAGGTTTCTAAGAGATCTTGTGTGGTTAGTTTGGCCTTAGAATAGTTCGATACACAGCTTTTTTAAACTAGAATGGACAGTACTTTCTGAGATTTCTGTAAATCTTGTTCAAGTGTTTGTAACTAGGCAAATATGATTTGAACGTTTTCGCGAATGGGTAAGCTTTTCAAGGATTCGGATCGCAACCTAGCGGAGGAGCAACGGTCGGATATGGTAGACCATCTGCGACTGCAACAAACCAGGCAGCGAAATCTCTTGCCGCACTGACGAATTCCAGCAACAAGTCTGCTCTTGCAGTCAGTGAGTAGATCATTTCATCAGTGGAATTTCATTCACGAAGTGTAGCTATCGCACAAAATTGCCGGATTATTCATCAGTTTTTCACCATTTTTAGATTCTGGAAACACCTATTCCAATTATGATGCTGCTGTTTACGCTGCTGCATCATCGTATCTGCATTCTAAAGCTACTGGAACGACAAATATGTGGATGAGTAAGAAGCCTGGTGAGTAACTTGAGTGTTGATGTAGACAACATTTCGAACTTTAATGAGTTGTGCATAACTCTTCCTATACACCGAGAATAAGCCTTAGGCGCAGGTCGAGGCGGAGGTTTCGGTAACAAACGCTTCGGTGGCGGTGGTGGAGCACAGAAAGAAGCACAACAGTTTTATTGCGAGGTATGTTTTTGTCGTTCAGTAATACTCTGTTGTAAAAGAGGAAAGATAAAAAGCGTTGGAAAGCGCCTTCACTCTCCTTATCAGCTAGATACAAATTCCCCGTATAAGGAATTTTCCACTGAATGCTTGTTGTAGCATGGGTCAGTTGCCTAGGGAGCGATTATAAATAACTGTTTTGCTTTCTATACTATCTGGTGGGTGTGGTTGATTGGTAGCATGAAGTTTATGAGAAAGCTCATCTCTTCTTTAGAGGAACGCTGCGTAGGCTTCTGTGATCAGTAATGCCTGCAGTTATTTCTGTACAGTACCAGTCGAAATGTCGAAATATGATTGGGTGAGAATGCGTAATGGAAAATGTTTTCAAAAATAACGTCAACGGAAACCCTTTATTTGACAGTTGCAAATGTAACACGCATGCGCACCCACTTGCAATTTTGGCAACTTTTTTGGTTTCTCATGGTTTCACTATCTTACAGTCAGTAATTTTATAGTTTGCTGCTAGTGCATTGTTATGAGAGCGCGGTTCTTGTACGCTTGGCTGAAGTCATCTGAGATTTCCTCCTTGCTCTAAGTTATTATAAAATTGGTCGCCTTATCTATCTCTAGCTACGTACCTATAATCCTATTTAGGTATGCAAGATCTCTTGCGCTGGCCAATTGACATATAAGGAGCACTTGGAAGGCCAGCGTCACAAGAAAAAAGAGGCTTTGGCAAAGGGAGAAAATAATCCTAGTCTTCCGAAAAGCAAGGTATGAGACCATAACTAACAAATATAAAAGAGGCTAATTGCCTTTGGTTAGGTGTCATTCCGATGTGATCTCTGCAATGTTACTTGCACGGGACAGGATACATACAATGCTCATGTACGAGGTGCTAAGCATCAGAAAACGCTGACGCTGTGCAAAAAACTTGGAAAACCCATTCCTTCTACGGAGCCCACTATCATACCACCATCCGAAATGGGTGGCGTAATCCCGCCACCACCAGCGGTGACTGCAGCTGCAGTAAATAATAATTCGCCAACGAAGAGGGTAAGAGTTAGCACTGAGTGAATTACTGTTTTTGTCATTTTACGATAATATGTAGGTTGTTGGCATCTCGACAGTGAATTTCGTGGCTGGAGCTAAACTTTCGTCCACAGCTGGACAGCTTGAAGCAAAGAAACAGCAAGTCATGCAAGCCGTAGGAAGCGCTGGTACAAAGGCACCTGAAGAACCCACGGTGCAAGCCATCAAGGGAACTACGGAAGAACTGCAGGTAGGCGATATGATGCTGTATCTCGTGAGAGCAACCTATCTCTTTTCTATAGGCACTCATCGCTGCCGAGCAAAATCTGAAACCAGTCGGTGAAGAGTTCGTTGAAGCACAACGGGATGCCACTGGGAAGCTGCTTCAGTACTTATGCAAGTTGTGCGACTGCAAGTTCAGCGATCCCAATGCTAAGGAGATCCATTTAAAGGGGAGAAGACATCGTTTGCAATACAAAATGAAGGTAAGAAAAAAATCATGAACTTGTTTTCCGTTTCGATTCGCGTGAGCCGCATACCAAAATCCATTTTGAAGGTGGACCCGAATTTGGAAGTCGAAGTGAAGCAGACTGCTAATAGACGCGGAACGAAATATGAACGCGGTCGAGGCTCAATGGGTGCTATACCGCGCGGTCCTCCCTCTGCTGGGTAATTCCAGTCGTATGAAGCAGCGTAACTAACATAATAGATTGCTAGTTTAGACTGGCTGTTCCAAGAGGTCCTTTTGGTCCAGTCGTTCCTGGTATACGTGGACCATGGTTTGGTAATGGGCCGATTGACGGTAGAAGATTCGAGACCACCGATGATCGTCATGTTCAGGTTTGAACTGGACTAGTTCATTGGTTAGAATCTGATTAAGAATTCCATTCCAGGCCAAGCACACTTCTATCTATCCTGATGATGAACAACTTACTGTGATTGAGCGACTTGTGACTGAAACTGAAAAGGCTCTCAAAAAAGTGTCTGACTTCTTTAATGAACGGTAGAGGAGTTCGTCATATGTTCTATATCGTTTTCTAAGAGCTGGTGCTTTGTTAGTGATCATCTGGAAACAAAGCCGCAAGTGAAGCCAGCTGCAGTTGGAGAAGCAGCGAAAGAGACAACAGCGACACCGGAGAAAGATCGTCTCCTGAAAGGAGTCATGCGCGTGGGAATGCTGTCTAAAGGATTACTGCTGAAGGATGACACTGAGGTAGATTTGCTTTCGATATTTTTTGGGAGGTTTTGATCATACTGTATAGGTCCACTTGGTTGTGTTATGCTCTCATATTCCTGGTTTATCGCTTTTGAAAGAGGTAGCTGATCTGATACCCAAGTACTACGAGGTTTGTTTTCAGTATTAGCGTTGTTGTATCTAAACATAAAATAAGTGCATTTAAGAGCCCTGAAGGATCGTCAGTCAACATCACTGTGGAGGAACCAAGTGCATCAATGATTCTTCAACAGAGCTCAATCCCTCTTAGATGTCGTATCACACTAACTTCTCGCGAATTTAGAGAGGATGTCGCTGGCGGTTGGTGTCTTGTTTCCTCTTCAATTTTTGCTGTAATTGCAAAGTTCTGCATGATTTTGAGAGTTACATCAAAGCTTGGCTTCCGTTTTTATCCTGCTTTTCTGAGTCTCGTTTGAAGTAGGTGATGGTTGCAGCGTGTGGCAGTACCTTCGCATGGAAAAGTACAGTCATCTTTCTTTTTCGCTTAGGTGTAAAACTCTGCTTGGAGGGAGAGACGGTTTCTTTGATTGTGTCTTTCAACAGATATTCAAATTTTCCTAAAAAGTATCCCTTTTCCTAATCTCAAGGTCTGGTGCTTATCAGTTCACAAGAAGAAGCGTTGTGAGCATTTACTTTGAATCAGAGAAGTGTACACGTGGTAAAAATTGCGCTAGGGATGGGCTGATTCCTCTTCGAGCTGCTTTTGCCTACAGTTCCGTTTTCCATTTTCTCCTATATCGCTGCTTCTTACACCTTTGCTTTTCCAAAAGAAACCGTACCTATACCCCTGAAAAGCGAGAAATGGACAACGTTTCAGACGACTCCTTTACCTAGTACGGTGTTCTTCGCATTTATTACATCAATATCTGTACCTCATCTAACTGCTTTTGTGTGATTAGCGAGATGCTGTTTTTCTTGTCATCGTGCATGTCTGCCCCTGTGTTCCATGCTGTGCCATACTGCCTACTCTCAACGCCTCTGTGGAGTATAAGCAGGCATACTCGTCTTTTCAGATTCTCCTTTCTTGTTAACGTCTTGGCACGATTGCAGTGGTGGTGCCTACGCACAGTGCTTATCTCACGAGCATTGCCACCTTATTAACAATAATGATAGTTCAGAGAATGCCTGTTTCCAGAAACGCAGTGTTACGCTAGCGAACCGATCGATAGTTTTATTGTTCGGTTACTGTGTTTTGTAGCGTAACGTTGCACTTTGAACAACAACATGACAAAGAACATACGACGGAATGTTATTCAACCAAGCATTGAGCAACGTTCTTTTCCGATGGGTATGGGGGAGTGAAAGATGGTCTACGGAGTCAGGAAATCGTACCAGCGTCTTTGATGAATGCTGTTTGATTGAAAATCTAGCAAAAAAAAGTTGGAAATGAAGATTGACGGACGCTGGTTTATAATTTGTTCTTTCATTCAAAAAGTTTTCAAGGTATTCAGTGTTGAGACCATCTTTCATGCAGCGGGTTGCGTTTTACAGACGCAGCAACAGCCCCACCCCCTGGAGATGCCCTAAACAAAGAGGCTTGCCTCAAAGCACTGGCTCAGCTGCGCCACGCTAAGTGGTTCCAGGTTTGTTGCTCGTCACCTTTTACACCCTCTTCATAATTTTCCGTGAATTTTTGCGTTTTTGCCAATGGTGACAAGCTAAACCTTGGGTCTAGTGGTTATTTTGACTACACATTATCTTATTATTCACACCTTTTTAAAGCGTGGTAGTTGATAAGCAGAGCCGATCATCACATCTTTTATTTCTCCCATCACTTTTTGAGCAATATTCGTTCTGGAACTTTTTTATTCACATTTAGCGTTTGCTGTCATTTCCTCTCGCTCATAATTCCAGAAAAATGCTTCAGTCGAAAGACCATTTGAATTAAGATGTATAGGGGGAAATGCGACGTGGGTGCTGATTACAATTCTGTCTTCTAGATCTGCGAAGCGGGAGAAGAAATGAGATTTTTGCGGCAAAAATGAAAGCGCGGACAGCATAAAAGCCACTGGTGCACACACTGGTTAATGCTGCTCTATCATTCAATCAAAGGCAGTGGTTGGCAAAATGGACCCCTCTCGGATTTTGGTGTTACGGAGTAGACGCCCCTTAAGTACACTGTAGCTCAACGCCACCTGCCAATTCCTTCGCGCTAAGTCCTGAATGGAAGTATAAGCTCCTGCAAGACGAAGGCGGTCGGTTCGAGGTACGAAGTGGCTGTGACGCGGCTGTGACGCGGCTGTGACGCAGCCATGTCGCAGCCGCGTTGCGCATTGAACCGACCGCCTTCGTCTTGCAGGAGCTTATAATTCCATCGAGTGGGCGGGGCCTGTAGTTTTGGAGCGCATTTTTCACGACTTAGCGCATTGGCAGGTGGGGTTTGGGCTACAGCGCACTTGGGGGTCTACATCGCATCGGCAAAATGGACTTCTCTCGGATTTTGGTGGTACCTAACACCACCAAAATCCGAGAGAAGTCCATTTTGCCTATCCACTGCCTTTAACACGTTCAGCAGCCAAGCCTAGCACCCATCATTGCTACAGTCGAAAATTCTCATATCAACATATATTGATCAATCGACTTTACTGGTAGACAGATAAATCAGAATTTATGCCGCTTATCCATGGTACATCTCATTCGAATGGCCAGTTCGAGTGAAAAGCTTCCTTGTCAGTTTCTAAAACGAATAAGGATTCGTACCCCGGAAAAATCATCTACAAGTTCATTTTCGCCTCTAAAAAACAAGAAATGTTCTGCTTATCTTCGATCATGCTCAGTCGACTATATGAACAAAGTGAGTCTTGATCTTTGTCGACGCTCTCCATTTATCTGTTTTATATTTATGGATCAAAGTTGCGCGTTACTCAGGTTAACATCAATAGAAAATCTAGAACATATCAACTTGTCAGACTGCGAAGAAAATACAGGCAGCATGAGCAGAGCACTTTAAGCTCAAAAATGGCTCGTCGAATAGTTTAATAAATGGAAATTCTTAGCAAATATGTGTGAAAATTTATAGCAAGGGCTCAAAACAAACATTACGTTCCAGTAAATAGCTAAGGTCATTTTCTGGTATTTTACCCATTTTAACTGGGAAAATGAATCAAACTTTTTCCTACGGTCAAACCACGTTACTTTTGCAAGCTTTTGATGTCTCAATGCTTGTTTAGAACTACGTTTGCTCCGTTTCTGTGCTAATTAACTATGTTCATCATTGGTATCTAGAGTAATTAATGTCACGGGAACGTCTTAAAGGCACCGTCTACCCATATTCTCGACTTCCATGTTTTGATCGTTCCGGAGAGCTCTCATGTCCCTGATTTCGAATTTGAATTCGGGAATCCGCGAAGACCCCAACAATCCCCCTCCCGGAAATCCCGCAGGCCGGCTTCTCGGAACGGTGATTGGCTAGGCGCGCACGGATGGGCGGGCATGGGTCCTTGTGCATCTTCGTTATTCCCGAACGATTTTATCGGTTACGAAGTGACATTTTGTTCTGCGACTTGAGCATTGGCTTGATAGAGGGCCCTAATATCATAAGCTGCCAAAAACTCAAGACCCTCAACTTAAGGTGGACGGTGCCTTTGAGTTGATGGGCAAAATATGCAAATGTGAAAGCGTCGACTCTGTTCAAGAATATATCTTTCATTTGTATGTATCTAGCCAGTTTTTACATGTTTTAAATTATCAAATGTAAGTTACTACAATTATCACCATTGGGAACTTGTCGCCTGTCCTGTCATCGCCCCTTCACTGTACAACTCGAATGTGAGTATCTGTTGTTTCAATGTGGTAAAGGATCAAATTCAGGCTAGATGCATCTATCTGCAGTCTTGCCAGGTGACTTTGCGTATTTTGCGAGACATTCGAGCAAGGATTGAGTCATGGAGACCTTTGAATGATTGGGTACGATGCCTTGTACCTTTTCAAACCTACTTTTTTCATGAATAAATTTTCTTAGATGTGTGAGCTGCTGGTGGAGAAAGTGCTGTCGTCTTGCTTGGCACCACTATCCGTTGGTGACGCTCTACGTCGATTCTTCGAAGCTGTAGCTAGTGGCGTCTTGCTGAAAAGTGAGCATTCGGAAAGGAGAGCATCCCTTTTTAGGAAGTTTAATCACTTATTGTTGCAGCTGGACCCGGTCTTCCTGATCCATGTGAAAAAGAGTCGATTGACGTGCTTGGCCCACTTACTGGTCAGGAAAGGGAAGCCATCACTGCTAGTGCACAGCATGCTTTGAGACTGATTGCTTTCAATCAAATTTATAAGGTGGGCTCCTTTTCCAAGATTGGAAGGAGTTCTGCAATGTATCTTCATTACCGTTAACCTGTCCAGGTTTTGTGCTTGGAGCGCCTACCGGATGTCAGGCCACCGCTTACCGACCGCAAGCGACCGATGGATGCATCGAGTGCAACAGATGGTGAGCTACACCTCTCAACTTAGCCATATTATTCTAGTATGTACGAATATTTCTTCAGAATACTTTACAGAAGTGAAAAAGGATAAGAAAGAAGGCGAAAACGGTCACACCAAGGGAGAGGAGAACTCCTCAGGTGTTGCGGTCAAAATGGAAAAAATGGAAGTTTAAGTCATAGTCAGGTTTATTCCGAACTTCGGGTCAGGCAAGTTTTGCGAGAAATCTTTGTCATAAATAATTGTGTGGATAGTGAGCTGATTTAGTAGATTTCATTATCATGTTGTGGGGAACAGCATTTTTTTTTTGCAAATCAAGAATTGGAATGCCACTGAAATGTGTCAGTGATCGTGATAAATATCTTTACTGCAGTGCATTGCGCACATGACTTTCTCGCTTCAAGCTGTTATTTGTTTTATTTTTTGTAAATTACCGAAAAATCTTCTTTTCACAATTGATTAAACAAAACTGATTTTTGGATTGAGCTGGTGTTGAAATGCTGTTCTCAACATTGTGATGAAGTCTTCTTATAACTCTTCGTTACACATTGCTTCAACAATTTCGACCCTATCAGTTATTTTGTAAAGTGAAGTCAACCTGAATTTCTCGATAAATTGCCTGACCCGAAAGTGTCATAATTGTGTTTGTGTATTCCTGTTATATTATACATAGAAGTGAACATTTGATGTAGATTCTGGTTTTTTCATGAGTCCGATGTCGAATATATTCGAAGTGTGGATTTCTTCATAATAGAAACTTCGTGATTAATTGTTGTTGACTTGGAGAACTTTTCTTGCTGTTTATTTATCTGTCGTTGAAGTCATTGTGTTATGAACTGATAAATCAATCTAACGATTTGTCTATGTTCAGTTAACGAATGCGCGGCACAAAGTCTCTTCATAGGATTAGCGGCAACATTTGTCAGCTGCTGGCAGAAGGTCCTCGGAGCTACGTATTGATCCCTCGAAAGCAGCCGGCCATCGAAAGTGTATTCTTTTTCGAGTTCTTTCATGCTTGCAGCTCTTTGCCTCTCACTCACGTTCTCTGCAATTTGGCCACTGATTTTCTAAGACGAATGAGTCAGTATTAGCTAGGTCGGCTGTTCTCTCAGCCGTTTTTGCTCGAATGATGACGGCATAGCATTATGTGCTGGAAAGCGGAGATTGAGTGCTTCGATGAAGGTTCTGGCAGATGCTTGATTGTGCTATGCATTGCCAAGAAAAGGGGGATTCTGGGATTATATGTCTTTGTAATTTCAGGACTTTTTGGGAAAAAAGTGAGGAAGTATGCAGTATTTTAATATGTTTACAGACATTTTTGATATTACTGGCTATTCTGTGAAATTGTAAGTTTCATCTTTTGAGATAATCGGATGGAAGGAAACTTGGGGGTTTTTTCCAACTGTTTGTGTCGTCGTCTATAATATTTTCACCTCCTTGTGAGAAGTTCTCACTGCAATTTGCTGCCATAATTTGTTTTGTTTTGTGATCCATTTATCTCTTGGGATATTTTCAACTCTTTCCATTCTGAAATTCCATGCAAGAGGTAATTTTTCAAATTTTCTTAGAATAAGTCATTCCGTTTGAGGGACGTTAAATGTACTAAGAACTACTCTGTTTTATCTTCAAGCATGTTTGAGTGTTCGAATTTTTCGTGAGAATATAATCGTTTTTTGTCTTTGGAGCAATCTAGATCTGTTGCTCTTTATCTGCAAATTACTCGACCTACGTAAAAGTGGTCTGAAACTTGGGTGTCAATGAAGTTATAATTATGTAAATTGAAAACCAAAACAAATTTCTTTTCTAACCAATGAAAACAAATTTCCACGCAACCATTTATAACTACAGCTAGCCGATGTATTGCAACACTGACATGCTATGTAGAAAAACTTCCAGCTTTGAAATTGAAAATCCAATTACATATGGCTGTTGAGAATATCGTTGCAAAATTCGTTTGCCTGAAGTGCTATCGATTTCAACTCATCCTTATTCGCGCCTTTAGCGACATCTATTAGGTCATTCCGAAAGTAATTTCGCTTTTTTCAAACGGGCGCCACATTTGATGGAACAAAGATTTCTGAGAGATCTTGGACGCATTCGATGCAGCATTTCATTCTCTTTGTAACAGTTATGAAAACGTTGCAAAGCAATCAATGAGCTTTCAGAAAATAAACAAAATCTGCGACCTATGCTTTTTGAGATGGTCAAGTTTCAAGATTTTTTAAAACTTTCATATCAATCTTCAAAAGGAGTTCAAGCAATAATTCGATAGATAAACCTTATAGGATACAGTACTACTTTTTTCTCCTCTCCATAGCTTGTTATACATTTTTAACAGAATTTTAACTGATGCTACCGGTTTCCATACTTGGACAGCTAAATCCTCGTAGAACATCAAAAGAACAGCAGTTCGCGCACTATTCGATGCAGCATTTTCTCCTCTTTCTAACAGATGTTTTTTACTTCCGAATCGTTTAGTTTCCGGGGAGAAATCATCATAAGTCATTTTTTTAGCGAGCCCCAGGCTGTACCCGAAAAACTCGAAAATTGATAATTCGAATTCGTAAACTCTCATCTGCTTTGTAAAATCAATATTGAGTCATACATCATCTTGGAAGTTTCAATTTCCGCGTAACAACTGATGTTTGATGCGATTGTGGCTGAGGTGGGCCTGCCAAAATCCAATAGTTCTGTTAAAAAATCTTTTAAAATATTATGGCGAGCTACGAGGAAGAGAAGAAAGAAGTACTGTATTCTATAAGGCTAACTCTATCGAATCGTTACTTGAACTCCTTCTGAGGATTGATATGAAAGTTTTAAAAAATCGTGAAACTTGACCATCTCAAAAAGCATGGGTCGCAGTTTTTGGTTAATTTCTGAAAGCTCATTGACTATGCTGCAATAATTTTATAATCGTTTGAAAGAGGAAGAAATTCTGCATCGAATGCCTTCAAGACCTCTTAGAAACCTTAGTTCCATCACATGTGCCGTCCGTTTGAAAAAAGCGAAATTACTTTCGGAATGACCTAATATATTGTTATTACCTAATTTTTATTTGAAGTTTGTTTATTGAATGTTCTTCATATTTCGCCCAGAAGAAAATGGAAGAGGTCAAACACAATTTTAGAAAAAACGATATTATTGCAATGCTGAGATGAAGTGTATGATGCTGTGTATCTTCCGCGTATCCCTTGACCAAAGCCTATCCGCACTGTCCCGAAATTGATCTACAATCATGAATCCATTCCTGCTTCTACTACCTATATTCGTTTATGTTTCTGGTAATGAGGACGCAAAACGATTGTATGATGATCTCATGGTCAATTATAATCGTCATAGAAGGTAAGCGACAAGAGCAAGATCAAAGTATCGCAAATATAAACCATTAGAATCCCATAGTTCATTGTCTGCACACATTCCACTCGTTGTATGAAAATGATGCTCATGCTACATAGGATTTTTTGCGTGCAGTTACGGTATGTGTAGAGTACAAAAGCTTAGGAGTTGTCAAACTTTGCATGACCTCATCTAAGGATCACGAACATTTCAAGCTTGTTTCAAAAATTTGAGCAGCATATGTTCAATACTGTTTATATCAATGAAAATTTGCCAGAAATGGCTTGTTGTAGGATTATGTTCGAGCTACGGTAGTTCAAAATCAACTTAAATAAGGTGGCGTTGACATGGAAATGATAGTTGATCAGCATGTTGATTAACCCCTCTATGCGAAGTTCTGTAAATCCGAAGATTACCCCTTACCGTACACCTACCGTAACTCCGCATAAAGGGCTTACCGACGAATTGAGTATTTTTTGTGATCAGAATGCCAAATTTCCTATTCCCGTTCCTTGCAAAGTTTGAGCGATAGGAAATTTCGAAATAATAAATGTTTATTGATGGTACTATAATAAAAGCTGATGTCATCGTACTGATAACTGTTGATACCTGGTTCCATATTTTAGACCAGCTACTGGACCACATGAACCGCTGACGATAAAATTGAAGCTGCGCCTTAGTCAGATTATAGATGTGGTGAGTGCAGAATGTTTGCAAAACCCCAAAATTTAAAATTTGTTTTCAGCACGAAATTGACCAAATTATGACATGCTCAGTATGGCTGAAGCAAGTGTGGATCGACAAGAAGTTGTCTTGGGACCCAAAGAGCTACGGTGGCGTCAGCGTGCTCTATGTGCCTTATGAGATGATTTGGGTTCCGGACATTGTTCTGTACAATAAGTAAGCTATGGTTACAGTTGAAGGAGTCTCGGCATAATTGTGACTGCCGTGTTCAATTCTTATGGGCTTTCCAGTGCTTAAAGCTAAATATTAGGTTGGTGCAAAAATAATGAGCGTTTTTCAATTTTTCACTTTAACTTGCTATAACTTTCTACAAAATCTACGTTTTGAAATATGATAAAGACCATTAGATGCAGCGAACCTTTCGCAGTACAGCGCATATTGACCTATACTCATATCTCATATGGGCAGAAAAATATGGATTGAAAAACAAAAAATTTTTTTCCTGAAGTCTTGTTTTGATAAAACATAACTCCTTTCATACTTTGTTGTTACCATTTATAAGCAGCCTATCTTGTAGCCACAAGCCAGTAGTACAAATATACATGGAAACGGTTCGGAGAAAAAAGATTAGCGAAGTGGGAAAAATCGAAATTCAAAAATATCAACTTTTTTAGCATTTTTTCAGTAAACCTCAAAACCCCAATGTATAGAATTTTCTAATGTTCTGCGTACTAAACACCTGGATGTTTTTGCGAAAACTGCTAATAGGACTCCTACCCTCACTCTTACACAGATGAGCAAAGTTTGAGCGACTGCATTCTACAAAAAGAAGTTATGGGCTCTAAAATGACCATAACCATAACCCATGTTAAGCCGCCGATATCTCACTTCAGATAGCTTCAGAAAATATGGTCAAATATGCATAATGTAGACAATTTTTATCACATAAGCGGCTAAATTTTCGCTAAACTATTTTCATTCGCGCTCAAATTCTGGCCAGAAAAATGAATGCAACGAAAATCTGGTTTTGAGTGCGATTATTTGAAGCTCTATAAATTCTTAACAGAGTGGGCTAAAAATCCATTTCGAATACCATTAGATAGAGCATGAAAAGAGCTTTCTAACAATATGCGGAAACCGTTACAGAGAAAGAAGTTTGATGGAGAAAAGTTGCCCTGAAAAAAATCCTAGGGAAACGCTCATTGTTTTTGCACCAGCCTAATATAAAAATGTCATACTATTTTCATTTCTTTCATGGAACGTAAAAGGGACATAAATTTGAAATTTATCGCAAAAAAAAGTAAATGAATGAAGTAAATGAGAATGGTACTTACTCACTCCATAGTGAAGAGGGTAGGCGGCGTAGAGTAGCCGGAAAATGAGGAAGCACTCAAAGGCTCCGACCCACCCGACCGGCTTTGCACTCGTCGAGTGGGCGGGGTCGGAGCCAAAAAAAACGATCCTGCACGGATTTCCGAGTCACTCAAACGGCAGAACCTCTTTTTCTACCTAAACCTTTGCTTAATTAGAGTTACAATCATAATGTTCCAAAACTACAAAATCTTTTTGTTGTGCCTAGACGCCGCTGTCAAGATCAAGACAAAAAAATGCATGAATATCTTTTTTTAGCGCTGACAGCAACTATAACATCACCATTTCTACAAAAGCTACACTGCACTATACCGGTGAAGTCACATGGGAACCTCCAGCCATATTCAAAAGCATGTGTCAGATCGATGTCAGATGGTGAGATGAAGAAACTTGAATATGAAAAAACTCTAATAATCTTTTTTGCTAGGTTTCCTTTCGACGAGCAACAATGCCATCTCAAGGTAACATTTCTCTCAGATCACTTACGGCAATAGTCTTCAAATGAATATAAAATCTCTATAGTTTGGTTCTTGGACCTACTCTGAAAATTTGCTAAACCTGGAGCTGTTGGAGAGTAATTTGCGTTATGAAGAAGAAGTGAATGAGAATGGCATTGCTGATAATATCACTATAGCGGATGAGGGAATAGGTCGGATTTTTCAACAAAAATTTTCTTGGAGGGCAATAGACTCAAATACCATTTCAGATCTCTCCGACTACTATCCTTCTGTGGAATGGGACATTATGTCAAGAGTAGCTCGTCGACGATCAAAAAATTATCCTAGCTGTTGTCCCCAAAGCGCTTATATTGACATCATGGTATGGCAATTTCCTCCTTCGTTATATTGAAAAAAGAACTATATTTTCAGTATTATTTGGAACTTCGTCGAAAACCTCTTTTCTACACAGTGAACTTGGTATTTCCATGTGTTGGAATCTCATTCTTGACCATTCTGGTATTCTACCTGCCGTCAGATTCTGGCGAAAAAGTTACGCTATGTATCTCCATACTTGTAGCCCTGACTATCTTCTTCCTTCTGTTGGTGAGTTAGTCTCATAGAAATGGTTTTTACATTGATTGGAAACAAAATTCGTTATCGATTATTCTCAATTTGACCATTGGTATGGTGAAAGTGAAGATTAGAACCGGTTGCGGGAGAGGAAGAAAATTTCTTTCAGGCAGGACTTATAAACCTGCAAAAGATTCGAAATCTTTTTGGGAATGGGAAGCAAAAAAGGTTTTTTCGAGTGGAGGACCCTCGCTTAAGTCCGCATTTTCGTGGAAATAATTTTCCAAGAATTATCAAAGGTTCGAAATTTAGGCCATAACCTCGTTGTAAACGTTACTTATTTTGAATGGGCTTGGAAAAACCAATATTGATACATGCTGTGCCTGTAAATAATCTTTATCATCGCCAAAATATTTCCAGACCGAAATTATTCCTGCTACTTCTATAACATTGCCTTTAATTGGGAAATATTTGCTGTTTACTATGGTAATGGTGACTCTCAGTGTAGTAGTAACAGTTATATGTGAGTTATACTGTATATTTATTTATCTCATAGAATCACAAAAGCTTTTCAGCACTAAATTTGCATTTTCGAACACCCACCACGCATTTGATGCCCAGATGGGTGAAACTTGTGTTTCTGCGATGGTTGCCAAAAATTCTGTTCATGAGGAGACCCCTGGATGATGGCAATGAATCATTCCGACGAGTTAATTCGAGAAAAGCCGTCGGTTGGTAAAATTTTCTGATTTGTGTACATTGAGGTTTTACAGTTATTTGCAGGACCAACGACACTTGATGGGAAAATCCCTTTGAATTACCATGAACACCGTGTGAGTCGCGATGTAGGCAAAAGTCTGGCAAACGCTGCCATAGATGACAGGATTCAGAAGCTCTATTACTCTCCACAGGTGACTGGCAAGGAAAACTACTGATTAATCTGTTTTATGGAGACTGAAATATAATCAGCAGCTGAAAATTGTTCAAAAGCAAATAGCGTCTAAACAAAATACCTAACAATAAGATGCCTTTCTTTTTGACAGACTTTGGTGAACACATGAGTGGAGCCTGATATATTCTTGTAAACATGTGCAAATGGCTTGCTTTTAAATTTGTGGAATTAATCAAAATTCGGAATAGTTTTGCTAAATTTGGCCCTTTAGAATTTCGAAGCGCAAAGTTTTAGAGACATCCCAAGATTTTTTTCTTGAGTGCATTAAAGCCACGCCACTTCCTCCCATTCCGAAAAAATTCTGTAGCTCCCCTTCCCCCCGTCCTCCATAAAAAATAATTCTGAGATCTCCACTGATTAGTACCGCAGTGCAAAAACCTATTCGGCTACATTTACTTAACATTTCTTCATTAAAAGACAAAACGAGATATCCAATTGATATAAATGCTATTTTCCAAGTATAACCAAAATTTTGCACTTGTGTGTGCCAAAGGAATAATCAAATAACAGGAGAAGAGAAATGTACGTGAAGCATTTCTCAATTGTTTTTTCCATAACAAAACCAAAAAGAAACTCGATAATACGCAAAAAATTAAGGAGATGACAATATTGCAAATCTTCTCAACAAAAACAAAATCACTAGGAATTTGCAATATAGAAATAAGCGCAATAATTTTAGTAAGCGCATCAAATCCAGAAGTATGTAGCAAAATTGAGTGTTTTCATGTCATTTTCATATCCGTAGTGAGTTGATGTTTGGAGGAAAAGCGATTGTCAAACAGAATTTTTAGGTTGTCAAAGCATTCGAGAACATCTGTTTCATTGCCGAATTGCTCAAAAAGAAGGATCGCGATGATAAAGTAAGCTGGCGGCTCATCTATTTAATCTCTTCTTCATCCGTTTCTTACATAGATTGATGAGGACTGGAAGTACGTGGCGATGGTTCTCGATCGGCTGTTCCTGCTCATTTTCTCCTTCGCCTGTTTCATTGGCACCGTTCTCATTCTACTCCAAGCACCAACTTTGTACGATGATCGCAAACCAATTGATCTGCAATACCGACCAGCAAATCTCAGTACTCTTGTATGACCAATTGAATCTTGTCAGTTGATATGAGCAATGTAAAGATTTCGAGAAAAAAACATGCATAAAGCACTGCGTTTATTTTCTTATAGAGGAAACCCTTACCATTATCAACTGTTGAGTCATTAGGCTCTCAGATCCGTGCAGAAATAATTTTGAGTGGTTAGAAGGAATTTTCGGCGCCAAACAATTCTATATGAGCTCTGAGTACATGGCGGAGTTTTTGCTTGGTGGAGTTGTGGTCGAAATAGTGCATGGCAATGGAAGTTTTTTTTTGGAGATGGGAATTTATCTAATATGAAGAAGAAAAGGTGGCATTTCGCGCCTGCGGAAAAGATTTCGGGATTTTTTTTTCAGAAAATACAGGCAAAAAAGCATGGGGCATTTGTTTGCACGTTCTGAGACATTGGTAGTTATACTTGTAAAAGGCAAGAAAATGGAGCAAGGGGCCGTTAAATAAAAATTTTCCTTTGCGACGGCTCAAGAGAACCTTTTCATGTTGACTGGATCTATCGTCAAAAAAATGAGAGAGGAATTAACATCAGCCTGATATCTTTGCCTTCATGATTGATTTGGTTTCTGTCTAGAAAAAAAAAGAAAACTGGAAAAGAGATGTGCAGTAGAATATTACGTATGTTTTGGCAAACTAGCTTTGTTATTAGAACCAATCCTTCCCAAATATGCAGAGCAGGATCTAATTTTTACAAATTTAAGACCAAGGATGTTACCTCCAAGCATTTGATGCGAAAGATTCAAATTAGGCACGCCTGTGGATTTTTTCGATGAATGATTGTTCCACTTTTTACGTCACTGTTTTTGATAAAAAAGCGCTATTTGTGCTCGCAACGGCGGCAACCTACATCGAAGACATGAGCCCACACTTTTCACACCTAATTTACGATTCAAAACATTACTCACAAATGCACCGAAACTTCCGCAAGACAAGCAGAATTTGTAGCGGCTCCTTGCTTACTATTGCAAAAGTGGAAATGTTGAAAATGGTTTTAGCAGGATTTTCACGTTAGAGGGGTTGAAAGTGGGAAATTCCGCACGACTTTTTACAGAGCGCTGCGGATTTTGAAAAACGCCAGCGGTTCCGCAGCACTTTGATGTGCCAGTACTTCCGCAGGTTTTTGAAACTGTTGTCTTTTATGAGTTGCCTCGTCAACAACTAGAGCGCATTGTCGAACATGTCATCCGTAGTGCAGAGGAAAGTGAGTCTCACAGTTTTTAGAGCAAGGTTCGAATCTCGCTCAGATGTTCTCCTTTGCTGTTCTGTTTTGCATTCTTTGAAACTTCCGCAGCAGTTTACAGAGTTTCCGCTGGTGAGCGGGCGGAACTTTCCCAAATGTTTTGCGGAAGTTTCGGCCAGTTGTCTAAGTAATTATTACTAGTAAACTTAATGTGAATGCATTCGCATTTCGAAGATAATAACCTCATATTCCAAAAGAAAGTTTGATTGTGATTATGAGCTGCAAAAATCTACTCGTTTACTTGCTATTTCTTCTCTCCCTTCCCCCCCCCCCCCTCCCAACTTTTTACTGCGCCTTGCCTCAACTATGAAGCAGTCAGTCATAAGCGCAGCTTCACCATCGGCTTAGCTGCAAAGGGCAAGTCGTTATCGGGCAGAAACGGCTGCGCATAATGAGCACAGCTTCTATAGATGCACAGCTTTTCCCTTTTCCTGTCATTCGTGACTTGTTTCCTGCTATTTGAGGCGCCTTCTCACATATTTCTCCTTTGATTACCTAGTTATCAGACACAAAAGTGCGCTAAAAGAAAAGAAGAAACCATGCCTCACTATCCACGATAATATTGTCAAGAAAGATCAAGTCTTTCTCCTCTTCAATGAGTGAAACAAAATCTTTTTTCCCTACCGCACGTGGCCAAAAAGGGCAGAACTTACCAGAGGTTGCATGACGCAAGGGGCTCGGGAGAGCGAGAGCGCAAGGAATTCTAGAAAATGCTCGTGGTCTTCATAGTCCTGCGGTTATTCTAGGGAAAACATCCCTATAAATTCTCTCATGATATTGTCACGCGGAAAAAATCGCTAGCTCTCGAGTTTAGTCAGTTTTCATACTCAATTGGATATTTCTGTTCTGTAAAAAAAGGAGAAATTCTGGCGTATAGAAAAAGTACAGGCCCCATATATAAATCAACTCTATAATTCATTTCTACGCCTTTTTTAACAGCATATGACTTTCGTCAGAGCAGTTGTGCTTAATCGCTTTGTGATAAGATGATTTATTGCAGCGTCTGTTAAGCGTCTAAGCCTTGCTTTCGAAAACGGCTACGAGAAATAGCTGGAAAATTGTAGGATCTTTAGCGGGTTTTTCAACAAAAAAAAATCTGGACGCTGTGTGAGATTTTGATTTCTTCCTTGTTCACGTAATCTGAGCACTTCCTTTATATCACACTACTGCATTGAAGACTTCAGTCTTCAAGTGCAGAGACAATGATTTATTACCGTTCAAAGGTGCTTTCCACTCGAATGCACAGCTTCCAGGTAAAAAACGGCGATAATCGACTGGAATTTTCTATAGCTCTCACTCTGCTTTTATCAGCCGTATATCTGTCATTTCGTTGTAGGCCAAAATTTTAATGTGATAGAAAGCTCACTATGAAAGGAGTGATTATCCTGCTGTGCTGTCTGATGATCCCCTCGATCAGTAACGGTAATGAAGATGCAAAGCGTTTATACGATGATCTCATGGTCGATTATAACAAACATAAAAGGTAAGCTGCACCATCTGCTTTACGAAATTTGCATCTCGTACTTTCTTTCTTCACTAGTTCCTCTAGCGTCTCTGATTTTGAGCGAGCAAATTTTTCTGTGCACAAAGAACTCATTCTTCTCTCCTAATCCTCTCTCTATGCATGGATGCACATTTGGTAGGTACCAGACGTGATCTTGATTTGGGAGAGACTTTTCCTACATAAATTTACTCCCAAGTGCTGAGGAAAATGATTTTGACTATTTCACATTGGTCGAATTGGTCAAGGGATGTCGCATCAATTGAGATTAGCCACATTATCATAATAGTTTGCTAAAAAGTTAGACTATTTTGACGATTCCTGTACGATTGCTACGATTAAAAAGCAAACTTAAATCACCAGATGGATCCCCTTTTTGATTTGAAGTTTAAAATGACTGTAAATGTGGATGCTTTCTTCCTAGCATTTGAAAAATTATGTTTTAGGTTAACAAACCAGAGTAATAATAAGATCTCTGGCTGTACGTTCAACTTTGATAAATGGAGCGTACTTGCTTAGTTGTAGGTCAAATTCAAGCATGTAAATGCTTTGAGATTGAATATATATGCAGAACCTCGAGGGAAATCTCGCAATCAATTATTAGGTCGATCCAAAAAATTCATTTTTTTCGGATTTATCATACAAACGTGAAATAAATGCAAGCAAAGATTCGAACACTAATCGACGCAGCTTTTCTTATTATTTTCAGTTCTCTATTAATCCAGAATTTTGCATTTAGAACTTATTGCCTTTAGTCCAAATCCAGCGATCTTTCGAAACTTTCACGTCAAAGCCTTGACAACAATAGACACGGAAAACAGAGTGCAAGGCAATGTACTTTCCGGCATCCGTAACTTGCTTTCCAGTATTTTGAGGTATCCAATTTTGCGAAGTCTCGGACAACAACGCATTAAGCAGCAATAATTTTTCAGATTTTGGAACTTCCACAAAATGATTGTGACCTAACAGTGATTTTAGACATCAGACGAGTGATTACCTTTTCAATCTATCAGATTTCGAATCCTGGTACAGCATATAAAGCACTATGCTTCCATGCAACAGTCTTCAATAATCGAAAGGAAAAGATTACTAGAAAGAGGAGAAAATGCATCGAATAACGAGTTGCTAGACGCTTTGTTGTGTCGTCTCTTCGAGCAGCAACCAAGGTCTTAAGATGCTATTTATTCAACCGGCCGACGTTTGGCTTTTTCGCCTTCGTCAGAGCCTGGAATGTCGAATGTAATTGACGCATCCACTCAGACGCCAACATCAAAGCTCAACATATCATTCAATCCACGACCAGTACGAAAGCCAAGGTAGATTAACGGACTGCCAGAACTCACCTTAGATGACAAAACAGGAGGCACATTGACCACCGAATGTGGGATATGTACCTCTACCTCTTTTTATAACAGCCGTGTGACCTGACCTCATATCAAAACCTACAGAGGGATTGATATGGCGCGAGTTCATTAGTTACCGCCAGGCACTCTTCCCTTCGGTTCATTTTTGGACTCTTAGCGTTTATCCAGAAGGCCTCCAAAGTTTTGCGCGCCAGCAGTTCGGGCTCGTAGGTCAGTATGCTACTAGACGCTTTGTGTTCTACGAGGTGCTTGACCAGACAGAAATCTGGTAGTATCAAAAAATAATTGGAAAGTTGTGTTGTCAGTATTGTTTCGCCGGCACGAGGTTTCGGTGAAGCTGTTTATTACCAGTGGCCTAACGTTTCGACTACTCGTTGTCTTCGGGGCCTGCCCCACCAAGTACCTCAACAACCACAACCCTTGGTTAGTCTCGATCCCCTTCGAGTTTTACAAGCAAAATTCGCGAGATGGCAAAGACGAACACATTTTTTGCCCCACCGCCGATGCACTTGATGGTATGTGCGACCGCTTCCTCATTGTGGATGTAATTATCGCACTACCCCATCATGGCTCACAGAGCGACAGAAACGGCATGAGGTCATTCGTGACGGCTAAGCACTCGTTTCTGTTGTTCACAAGCGCTTTCGTGCGCGTGCTCCAAAATGCTTGGAGAGCTTTCCGCGAGGTATCTTTTTTGTAAGCCAATATTGTGCACTTGATTTCTCTTCGCCGCATTGATATCCATGCTTATGTTTTCCGAGAGTCGAGACAGACTACCTTTTCGTTTATTGGCGAGATGTTCTCTAACTCTCACGCCAAGTGCTCTTCCAGGTTTTTCCTATATAGCTAGCTCCACAAACTAAACATTCTACCTGATATATTACTTCTGTTCACGCACAGTCGCCAATGCTGTTATGTGGACAAACAACACACTCTTTCGCTATTTCGTACAAGCTTTCTTTGAATTATCGCTCGGAACACTCAATAAGATGATATCGCCGCTTAGTTGCCCTCGTTTGATACTCTCCCGTAATGAACACTGATTTCATCCTAGAAAAAAGGAAGACGGAGCGCTATTTTGTTATGTTGAGCGGTGCGATGTGAAGAATATGGTTTACCACGAGCATGATGCATCGGATATCATTATTATTTGCTATGCTCAGCGCAACATTTCGCGACTATCCTGCTCTTGCTTTTTCCCGTGCACACTTGTGTTGCTGTTCTAAACATATTTCGGATGAAGGCACTCCTTGAGGGCTGATGGATGTGCCGAACAAGCATGTAATAAGATGTTTTGAGAGCTATTTTTACGATACATTTGACATTTGTTTCACAGGCAGACAGTTTGATTTGAACGTTCAAGTACGGTTACCAACCATCAGCCGTTCAAACGTGAGTCTTATGTACTGCGACTGCTGATTGAACAATCGGAAAAGCTCCATTTGGGACTGAGTGAATGTTATTATGCAGCGTCGTCTATTAGCGACAGTACATAAGTGGAAGTCTTGACAGCACAGGTCTTTCGATCCTACTTATGAAGCTATTGCAAGAACTCAGCAGGCCGTTGTCCATTGCAAGTCTTCTTAATTGAGGAAGTAGTTGCCTTATCTTCTGAAGATAATGTAATTTAAACATTCTCTGATCAGAACCATGATGTGATGCTTGCTCAGTCCATATTTTCAAATGATCGCAATAGTTCATTCATCATTTTGGATACCGTTTGTAAAGCGTCTTCATTTTGAACGGTTCTACAGAGATACTACGTCAAATGATACAGCTATAAATCGATTTTCAAATTTATAGGATTTATGTGGTCGAGAAATTGCTTGCTGTTTGCATGGAAAGGTATTTTATACAGTGCCCAACAATCTTATCCAAAAATCAAGATAATGCATCGGTTGGGCCTCCAGTACAGTTTATTATAGGTCGAAAAACTTAATGAAAATTGGAAAATTCTGAAAAAGCTAGCCATAGATGCCGCAAAGCTTATTTGTTTGTAAAATTAGGAGTACTAATTGATTCATGAAAGCAGTTAGAAGTACTAATCGATTTTTGGAAGTTGTTTCGAAGGTCTATTAGTAGTTGATGCGTTCGAGTATGACAAAACAAAAGTGAATGCTTTTGGCAACTGTCCAGAAAAATTCTAAAAGCTAACTATGGATGCCAGAAACATTGCATTGCAATTTGTTTGCTATATTCAGCTGTTATCAAAGCTTTAACTAGAAGTCAGATGACGAAGAATCGCTAATAGTGTCCGAGAGTAACTAGTTAAACATGACTGCTGAAAAGAGAAAGATAAACTGCGTCGAATAACCTCTAAACCTTTGCTTACCCTATTCAAGTTTATATGATAGTATTAGAAATGCAAAAACTTTCGGAGCGACCTAACATATTCCAGAAGGGCATGAAGCAATATTCACCGTTGCGCTAGGTAACCAAAGGTTGTATAAAATTACTCCTCCGGAGCACTGCGCGAGAAAATTGGGAGTAATTGAGATTAAAGAAGAAAGTTGTCGAAAGACTGAATTAGCACAGTTTTTTCCATAATGTTAAAATGATGACATGTCTTCTACTTTTCACTTGTTCATAGAGATTTCAGTTTAAGCCAGTTTCAAAAAATTTTATAGCATTTGTGCATCCAGACGTCAAAAAATGCATAATAATCAGGTTTGGCATGGGATTGGCAAATATCAAGTTGGGTATCGCTTTTGTGGGGGGGGGGGGGGAGGGGGGCTGGAAAGAAAGCAAAGGGAAATATTGTAAGCATACTCATATGCGACCAGAGCTGAGCGTAAGGTCAGGCGTGTCCGACCTGGGGGTCATATTGGGGAGAGGGTTGTAATCAGGAGCCGAATTCGTTCAAAAAATTGAGCACTACGAGTAAGGTGAAGAAAGATAGATAGGTAAATATTACAACTCCACCAGAACTAAACAATTGACTCTCATGAACAGCATGCTGATCAACTCCACTATTGAAATGTCAGCCAAATTTCGTTCTTCATCTCTAACATGACACATACCGTAAGGTCACCAATCTCGCTGTATAAATTAGGTATAACTTCTCTAATCAGCATGTCAGATCACCTTCACGAGCTCTACAAACTATTACCTATTACATCTTTTTAGCGTTTCGCAACGTCCAGCGTGGTTTCAAATATAATTAAATTAGTTCCAAAACTGAAAGAAGTCATCTTGTCGCTAAAGACGACCTCCGTGCATTTGAGGTCAAGTGTGATCTTATACATTGTTAGTGTTCATTGTTGTTCTATTGTTTATGTTTGTTGACAAATATGAGAAATAAATTCTCTCGCGCAACGGAACTGGTCGGCCAGACAAGTAAGCACAAGTCAATGCGTTTGCATCTTATCAGTTTATCAGTGCCTTAGCTTTAGATTGAGTACGCTAATTAGCGTATCCGAGCTTTTACTAGATCACTTAACAGCGTGCCGTTCAACAAGGATATAGAGAGAATAAATACCGGCTATGAAGTATGTCCGGGAGCCTCCCTCTACAAGTCTTTTCAGCTCACTAAGAAGTCGTAGGGGGATCAATCCTCTAGTATCAGTTTGTTTTCAGAAGTGCTCAGAAGCAGTTTGAATCAACAAGTCTCTGGGGGCACTTCATTCTCACAGTGTCCACATCATTCTTGTTTTAGTTTTGTAGAAATAAAGTTTTTGTTATTAACATATTAACGAAAAAAGTAAAAAACATGACGTCCTCTTTAGACTGATATGGCGCGGCTTGTCGAAAGTCAGTCACGTGCATTGGCGCGGTACTCCACCATGGGAGCTTTGTGTTATTCGACGACAGGGAGCCCCCTCCCCCCTCCCGCCCACCCTTACCTCCGCTACTGCATTTTTTAGACGCAAAATTGCGCGCGAAAAAACACCCAGAAAGCGACGGACATTATTATTTGATTCTATTATAAAAGAAGTCTAAAATAAATTTCACTAAAAAGAAGCTTCCATTTTTTGTAAGTACCACTTGTGTCTTAGCTTACACACTCGATTAAATCCACTTGCTTTGTTCATAAATACACTCCAGCTACAGTTCTAGTTCTTGCTTAAAACTTTTTTTGATTTTCAGACCAGCGATCGGTCCTCATAAGCCAGTAACCATAAAGCTAAAACTGCGTTTGAGCCAGATTATAGATGTGGTGAGTTTCTCTTTCGTTTGTAAAACAATACAATGGACACATTTAGCACGAAATTGATCAAATTATGTCCTGCTCGGTGTGGCTAAAGCAAGTTTGGACCGATAAACGTTTGTCATGGGATCCAAAGAGTTATGGAGGTGTAAATGTGCTCTATGTGCCTTACGAGATGATTTGGGTGCCTGATATTGTTCTTTATAACAAGTGAGGTAAAAGCCTCTGTGTACCTTACAGAGCTGACCTAGTAGGTTGTAGCGCAGACAGTAACTATAACATCACCATATCAACCAAAGCGACGTTGCATTTTTCTGGCCAAGTCACATGGGAACCCCCAGCTATCTTCAAAAGCATGTGCCCGATCGATGTAAGATGGTAAGTCTTCCATCAATTACGATAACTTACTTGAAGCTTTGTTTTGAAGCGATCACTCCATTTGTGACAGAAAAGAGGAGAGGCTTTTCGTACTCGGCGCTCGACAGTATCTCCCACACATGCGGTCACTTATGCCATTCGCTCCCTTCCTTGCTTTTAGAACGTCTTTTTCGTTGTGCTTTTGCCTTTGGTGACAACAAGTCGAGGATAACAGAGCTGCGTTAGCACATATGGGAAGATACCAGCGGCGGACCGAGAGGGGGGGGGGAGGCGAGAATGGGTAACGGAATTTTTGGAAATTATTTACATGGGTCAAAGTGTGCAAAAGACTTGTTTTTACTTGTAAATAATTGAAACAATTTTCCAAAATTTTTTTAGAAATACATATTAGCCTCGTAAAAATTTTTTTTCGAGGACAAGGCTACCGCCACGCCTCTTTTTCCTAAAATTTTGGGGTCAGGAGGCCCGCAAAAATTTTAGGAACTTCCTAAAAATTCTCCGGAGCGCGTGGCTAACGCTACGCATTTTTACTTAAAAAACTTTTGCCGCCATGCCAATTCGGTATCCTCAACTTCATCACAAAGTGTTGTCTCGTATGAGGCATTCATTAAGAGATTCAAGCAGGCCAGATATCTATTTTCAAAAGCATGTCATTGGGTAAAAGCTGCGCAAGGGTCTCATTAGAGGCTTCATCCTTGTTGCAAAATGATGCTATAATATGATGGTCCGTTTTTTAGGTTCCCATTCGACAGCCAACAGTGCTACATGAAGGTAAGACTTATTGCTATACCAATATTTTGTAAGGATAGCTAGCTTCATTTTGGGACAGGACTGAGAATGCTTTGCAGATAAGCTTTACCAGCTCAAACCTTGTTGCTTCTTTACCCAGGACTAGCTAGCATCTCGAGTCCCCGCTCAGGTTATGATGTTATAGGCAGTATCAACCAGCGTCGTTTCCGCGCCTCGCGATGTCGCAATATCACAGGCGACGCGCCTTAACGAGTAAGTTCGCATGCGTCCGCACCGTCAATAGTTGCCGCAAGCGACGACGCAGCATACTGGTTGGCACAGCCTAACGGATTGCGATCTTCAGCAAAAAGGGGCTTCCTTCCCTCTCCTCGTGGCTGTATCCTTTGCTCTGTACAGTCCGGTAACCTATCAGCCCTTGTTCTGCTGATTATATCTCGTTGAGCACACTTATATAGCACTCCTGGTCCTCCTTCAATATGAATAATGTCATACTTTATTTCATGCTCATCTATGGCATATGTACTTCATTCTCTCACCTGACCATCATTTGGGTGCGGAAACTCGTATAGTGGCGACCTGCAGTATGTTCATCTCCTACTAGATTTTTGCTACGCGGAGTCAGGCGAAGATCAAAAATAGCAATTAGAACGGCAAATGACGCTTTGAGCCATCCTCAGACCTTTAAGGAAGACGAAGTCCACGTTAGACCTCGGTTGGATTAATAAAGATCACCTGACAAAGCAGTCAGGTACAGAAAATTTTGGCAATACGACGGCAAAGTTTTTGAACAATCTAGTAAATGCTTAGTACTTACATCAATTGAGTCTAAGGCCTGTATGCACGTACATCCCCGCTGGGGAGGTGAGGGGATCTAAAAGGGGATGCGTCATATCTCACTACTCTACGCATCTATCTTCTTCCTTCTCTATAAATAACCATTGTTGCAAAAGATTTCTGAGGCTATGTATCTTGCTTCGAGGCGTTCATCCCCTCCGGAATACACCATTGTTGCCGTCTTAAACATATATCTTATTACAGCCCGCTTAGGCCCGTATGCACGTACATCTCCGCTGGGGAGGGGAAGAGATCTGAGAGGGGATGTGTCATATACGCTGATGTAGATATCTTTCTTCTTCCTTCTCTATCTTGCTTATGAAGGATCTCATACCCTTATACCTGCGCATAATCGATGCCAAGTTACGGCCATACAAGATCGGTTTTTTGCATTTTGTGTGATCCCCTGGGAATCCCCTAGAAATTTCCAGGGGATTGCCTCGCATTTTCAAAGTGATTTTTCTTCCTGAGAAGTCAATGAAAACGCTGCAAACTTGTGCTGAGAATATAATGGCACTGCTAAGCATGTTTTTGACAAGAGGAACAGAATCTGAAGATTGTGGATTTTTTGATAATCCCTAGCTCGCGAGCAGTGTTTCATCGAAGATTTCGATATCCTGAGAATTTACTTATTTCTAGCGAGATATGAAGCATCTCCTCTCAAATTGCCTCCCCTTCCAGCGGGGATGTACGTGCATACGGACCTAAGGCATACTTCATTCCGGCATAGTCAACATAGCATTATATTAATTTAATAGCTTATTCGCCGAGGAGTCTATTCGGCGAAAGTTGACAAATAAAAGTGTTCTAGTTCGGTTCATGGACATATTCCGAAAAGCTCTTGCGTTTGGAGCTGCTTGATGAGAATGTTCGCTATGAGGAGGAGGTTAATGAGAGAGGCGTCGTTGACAATATAACCATAGCAGAGGATGGAATAGGTACGCATCAAAAAATGAGTTGTACTCTACCCGATGATCTTTTTCAGATCTATCCGATTACTATCCATCAGTTGAATGGGATATAATGTCAAGAGTAGGCATTCGCCGTTCAAAAAACTATCCAAGTTGTTGCAAAGAAAGTGCATATAACGATATTACGGTATGAGGCCAGTGTTTTTCGCTTTTGTCAGATTTTAGGCATTAATACTATGAAGTCTCAGTACTACTTAAGTCTTCGTCGTAAACCACTTTTCTACACCGTCAACCTGGTATTTCCTTGCGTCGGCATATCTTTTCTGACTATAGCCGTCTTCTATTTGCCATCGTATTCCGGAGAAAAAGTGTCACTGTGCATATCCATACTAGTTGCGTTGACTGTGTTTTTCTTGTTGTTGGTAAGTTTATATTCATCAAATCTTAAATTGTTCGTGCTCCTACACCTCTAAAGCTCTGTCTGATCTTCCCTTTCCTTGCGCTCTTGAGATCCTTTCTCTACCACTTCTCGGCCCCAATCTCCAGAAAAATCAGAAAAAACTCCGTTTTCACTTATAATAGGTTGAAGCTCTGATTTAATCTATAAATGAGCATGATAAGAGGTTTAGATCGATCTCATTCCGGCTACATCTGTGACTCTACCACTGATAGGAAAATACTTAGTTTTCAATATGATTATGGTTACTCTAAGCGTTCTCATCACTGTGGTTTGTAAGTTGCACAAAGTGAGAGATGCAACAATAACGTATAGCAAAATTTAGCATTGGGTTTTCATTTTCGCACACCACCCGCAGAAATGATGCCGAGATGGGTTCGGATCGTCTTCTTGAATTGGTTGCCTAGAATTCTGCTTATGGAACAACAGCCAAATGGCGACGACGAGTCGTTTCGACGGGTCAGCTCGAAGAAAATGGGTATGTAACTATCGGAAAGAAATCTTCACATTTACTTCGAAGCATTTATTTCTTTGGATGGCAAAATCCCTCTCAACTACCATGAACATCGTGTAAGCAGAGATGCGCCGCTTGATGAAAGGATCCAAAAACTGTATTATTCTCCCCAGGTGGGCTGATATAGTAGCCTTGATTAACACTCTTATGGGCGGACATTACAGGTTATAAAAGCTTTTGAAAACATTGTGTTCATTGCTGAAATCCTAAAGAAGAATGATCGCTGTGATAAGGTACACAGACTCCAAATCTTTATAATTCTGAATGTCTTGATTGCAGCTTGAAGAAGACTGGAAGTACGTTGCGGCTGTGCTCGACCGATTATTTCTCTTCATTTTTGCTATCGCTTGTCTTACTGGAACACTTTATCTACTTTTGCAAGCACCAACATTGTATGACTATAGGAAACCAATTGATCTGCAGTATCGTCCAGCTGATTTGAGCACACTTTTATGAGAATTCTGTGCACTGAAATAGGCCTAGATTTGATTTAGCTGCTTATCTTCAAAAGATAAAGCTTTCTGCTTTTCGACGCTGAACAATAAATCCAAAATTTTGGGAGATTACGTTGAGTTGGTTCATGACTTGAATAAAGTGCGAAGCTCAGGCCAAGGAATCTATAGTCGTTCCATAAGTTCGTAGCGTTTTCATTTTTGTCCTCATATCTTTGAAGAGCGGTTCATTTGCGGCAGGGTGCCTATTTCATTTTTTAAATTTCATTTTTGAGGGCTAGTTGTGCTCTTTAAAATATGCCCATTAATTCCGGTGAAAAGCTGATTTACTTGAATTTCGTAGCTTCCAAAGATGGAAATCTTGAGAGGCAAAAAAATTCGGCACTTGGGCATTTTTCCTCATGAAAAAAAGCGCTTTTGCACGTATTTTTCTATCGATTATGGAACATAGCGCTCGCATATCAATATGAGACAAAAAGAATTGGATTGCTACAAAAGATCAGGGGATGAGCAGAGTGTCCCTGAACAAGACTTTTCAGGGGGCGGGCAGTGCAGACGGTGCAGACGGTGCAGACGGTTTTCAGTGCAGACGTCCTGCACTGAAAATTGCTGTACAAGTTGGCGACGTTCAACCATACCGTAGGCAATCCACTGCACCGTCTAAACCAGGTCCTACCGAGTGCGCTGATCCCGGAAAACAACAGGGCCCAGCACGAGGGTAGCAAATGGACATCGGCAAAACGACTTCGCTCTTGCCACTATCGATTTTTACGAGTTCCCACTTCCCGCCAGCTGCGTAGTCTGTTCGATTAGAGCGCGCTTTCTTCCTTAGAAGGACCTGCGTCGTTGCTATTCCGGATCCTAACAAGGAGTAGAGGAGGAGTTTTGGGACCAAAATGTTACTATGTACTAAGCTTTAGGTGTAGAACAGATCTATGAGAGACTTTGGAAAAATTATGTGAACTGGAAGTTTTGCCAACCTCAGGTGGGCATTAGGTTAACAATTGCCAACCTAATTTGGGGAAAAGTTGAGCACGGGTCTTAATCAACATAAGTTTCATAATTTTTGATACTTTGTTCCTTAGTCCTACTGCGCGTATACACACCAAATCTCGCGCGATTTCGTTACCTCTGCGTTACAAACGAGCCATTTTTCCATTTTTTTGATAGCGGGAAATTGTCAGAAAAAAGCTTGCCACAACCTTTAGTCACATAATCTCCACTGAAACTTCTCAGCTAAGCCCTGCAGACTCGTGTTCGTGCACTTACCAATTTTCACTATATGGTCATCTGTGCGTTGCAGACGGGTCATTTAATTTTACATCTTCACTCACCAATTATGCATATTTTTGGAAAAAATCTTATTACACCTTCCATTCACATAAGCTTTCATACCTTCTCATGCTTTGTTTCCATTAGCCTCTCTTCATTCGCTTACGAAATTTGGTATCATGTCGTTACGCTTACATTGAGAGCAGGGTAAAGCTTTAAGCTTGGGGTGTGGCACGCCACGCCTGGGGGTCGTAAAGGGGTCAGGAAGAGGGGGGGGGGTGTTATCGAAGTGATAGTGATGTTAGCGACATGATGTCAGTCAACAATGTCTGACAGGCCCATTGCACGATACCAGCACTGATGTTTTGGCCTGCCGTCGTACACGCACAGTAAGCATGATAAGAGAATCCCTGAAGAATAAGAACATCATTTTCGTAATTTGCATGTCAAATAACCCCTGTGGGCCAAGTTTCAAATTTTGTTTCCAAATATTGGGACACTCAAGTGAGGTGGTCATTTTCGAACATGCTAACTTTGTTTCAAAAGTGAGTAACCTACTTTTTTTGCACTCATTACAAAGCACTACCACTTCTTTGCTCACATTAGGGATCCCACTTCAACTAACCTTCAAACTCTGGAATTAAGAGCAGACCAAAATCCTGTTGGTCCCTTTTTTCTCTTTCAGTTTCTCAACTAGTGAAGACCAATCAGGCTCAAATCACTTTTGTGAAAGTTAGTAAGATTAGGCTATCGGATAGGTTGGCGAATAATTTCTGTTACACTTTTACTTTCACTTTTTTTAAAATCTCAGAAACTTTCGAAAATTCTTATGTTTAAGGAGTATTGGCAGGGTGCAAAGGTCTACCTGCCGGTAATGTCAGATGCGCGGCCCGTGCGCGAAACACCCACTTTATTGGTAGGAGTACATTTTATGGACATTTTTGTAAGCGGGCTGGTATTCTTCCAGGTGAACGGGAAGAGACCGGGCGACATGGCATTCGGGCAGGGTATAGACCATAGTTTTTAGCGAACATAGGGGGTGGCACATTCATGTCCACACACGATCACATGAGCTACATGTTGCGCCATGTCAGCGCATATTTTGACATTTTGGCATTTTAACATGAAGAACTATTTTAAAAATTTACAAAAATTATTTCCAACTTTTCCGTACCAAATCCTACACGATGCACACAAAAAGAAAAATTTTCGAAGAATCTCTGATTTTTTTAGTTGTTTTTCACCCCTTGTTTTTGGCATGCTAGCGGCACCAGTGCTACCATGAAAGAGACGGTGAAAAATATGCTCTAAAAAAATTATGGGAGAGAAAAACACAATTAGACGCAAAGAAAAAAAAATCAAAGAAAAAATGACAATTTTGAGTGTACTTATAAAGTTGTCGTAAAGTTGCTGCCTAATTGTGAATTTGCGGCATCAGTCAAACTGTTGTGTACGCCTTGCCGTGGCCTACACATGGAGCAACTTTGAAGATTCTAGAGAACTTCTGGAACTTTTCAGAATTTTACGAAAACAGAAATTATCCGCCAACCTAATACTTGTTCTTGCCGCCTTACCTCGCGACACGTAGTAGCGCAGACTTACCGTAATCCAATATTTTCGCGGTGCTTTTCATTTGCTTAGCTAAGGAAAAACAACTATGTCTTTTCCTAGGAAAAACATTTTTGAATGAAATTCCTGCCATGTGGAGAAGAATGTTTAGCAATAGCAACCATATGAAAAAGACAGAGATTTGAAGTTTTTGAAGGTAAGTTAATGGGGTGTGGCGGCCACAGCTTTTTAGGGGTTGTGCCACACCCCATTAACTTGCCTCCGAAAGAATTATAGCGAACAAAGTACATGTGATTTGATAGCCTGAATCTTGTAATTTTCATAGGAATAAATTGGGCCTGATTCTTCTTCTTCGCTCTGAGTAAAAGCTGGTGAAAGCGCAGCTATTGGAAGCGAAAAATGGAACAAACGAGACTTTGGTCTGCTTCTAATTTCATAGTTTGATGGTTGTTTGAAGCATAATTCATGGTATCGCTAAGCAGAGAGTAGTGCTTTGTACTGAGTCAGGGCTGGCACAGCTGGCACTGGATCAAGCTGGATATCGTTTTTAGGGCGGGAAGCAAAGGGGATATCGTTTTTTCGGGGTCCGGGCGGAGAAGTGCCGCAAGAATGCCGCCGGCATGCCACCGGCATGCTGTCCATCAACAAACAAAGGCCTCGTTCTCAGCCAGAATGCAATAGTATGACACCAAATTTGGTGTGTGCATGCGTGTTGGTGGACCGGAACTATAGCCCAAAAATTTATGAAAACCTATGTGAATGAAAGCTGTGCCGAACTTTTTCCTGAATTAGCTGGCACCGTGCCAGCTGGGTGCCAGCTGAGCTGGCACCGACACTTTGCTCACATAAGTTTTCATACTTTTCTACATAAAATGTATCTATACTGTAAAAGTCTACATACAGAGAAGATTTTCAGCGTTTTATAGCAAGTTCAAAATTACTCAATCTGCTCCGCAATCGAAAAATCGGCTTTTTCTGCTTCTCAGGATGTGATTCAACCACATGAAAAGCTCAGAAATTTGTGAAAAGTGGTTCCATGAAATCGGCATGCATGAAAACCCTACTACATACTTTTACAGAATCCAAAAATAATGACTTGTCTTCAAAACTGGTCAAAGGGGACTTCGTACAAAATTTACAAGATCAAACGGGACTTCGTTTCGAAATTTCCCTGGTGCCAGCTCGTGCCGAGCCCTGTACTGAGTACAAAAAGAGTTAGCTAATTCATTTTGAATTATAGTTAATCATGAAAATGATCACTTCACTTGGATGGCTCAATATTGGGAACCCTCAGAATTTGCTAAAGCTTGGCCCACGTGGTTATTTGACATGATTACGAATACGTGCTTAGTTATGCACGATAGAGCCTTTATGTCATGCCTATGGAAGGCAAACGGTAATGCGGGTGGGGAGTGGGGGTATTGAGACAGAAGATAGGGGGAGGCCGTATCCGGCGCTTGTGTGCCACATCTCTTGCTCGACCCTGATTGAGAACTAGTCGGTATGCTGTCGCAAATAGCATCGGTAGCGACGTCGCGCGTGCGGCAATTAGCAATGGCGCGGTTTGACGCGCGCAAACTCCAGTGTTTGCCTTTTGAGGCACATAACATATTGAGACAAGCAAAGAGCTTGAACAACCAATTTTTTCCGGAGCTTCGCCCCGGACCCCGCAGAAACGATATCCCCTTCGCTATTTCACCCAAAACGATTTCCGGCCTATCATCCGCCGGGCCCTATGAAAACAACACCATGGAAAGCGTGATGGGAAAAACCAGCTCTTCCCAAGCCCTTCGTTTTAAATTTGGACGAGTGGCACACCATAGGGTTCCCATTCCCATCCTCGAAGGGGTTAAGGACCCGGAGTCGTTGCACAAACCCTATGGTCATAACATTGCGGCATGCAGCCTCCGGCAGGAGGAGGAAAATCGCGAGCTCGTCCCATTGCGTGTAAGAATGGCTTGCGTGCACAGGTTTGAGAGCAGATTTCTTGGCAGGGCAGCATGTTGTGTGTTCGGACTTCTCTGTTTCGGATATCTGAAGTATGCGCAATCGGTCGTATCAATTTTCGGAGATGTTCTGCCGAGCACTGCTTGCAATTTTATTTGGATTATACTATTATACAAGTGAGGAACCTAAAAGAGATCAGCGTTTCAGGATTCATGAAAATGGATGTGACTCATCTTACATGGCTACGGTCACTTAGCATCTAATTCTTCTCACTTAGTAAACAGCTGAAATTTTCAAAACACACTTTACCAAGCGCAGCCATACCATGAACTCAGACAACTGCATCGGGAAGTTCGCGGGTGCTTGCTCGGCCACCAATCATCCATGCCGCGAGCGGCCCGGTATAAACCGATATTGGACCCGATAAGTGACCGCGGCCCATCCTGTAAGCGCCCGATAGTTGACCGAATTAGCATGCTTGTGAGGCCTAGTAAAGTGAACATCTTTTGGTATGTCTTTCATTACAACGACTTGAGTGCAAATTGAGCAACTAGTTAGCTCATCTGTCGACATCATCTAGTGCTAGTGTCGTCGGTAACACTCATTCGACTGCTGAAAGCATAAAAATCAACTGTCATACAGGACCAAACAAGAAGCATACCCAGCCTCACAAACACTTAGGGTAGCCCCATCGCTGCGGCGTACCTCACGCGGGTTGCGCCTTAACCTACAGCGTGCAGGAAGTGCGGCCTTTGGTAAGGCCCGCGGCCCGCCGAGTGAGGTGATTGGGCCGCGACTCTTCCGATAATCTCCTCCCAATTGCAACTTTGGCCGCGGCGCTCCCGGTAAAATATACATGGGCCGAGGCGTGCGCGGCTGAGATTTTAAGGGCCGCGGCGCGCTATGTAACACATTTTGAGGCCGCGAACTTTCCGATGCAGTTGTCTGAGAATGTTCTGGCTAAGATATTCCGTTCTTATTCCATCATCACTGAGTGTTTGGACCTGTAAAGGCTCGCAGGGTGCTGACCGCAAGCTTCACAATTTAAGAAGCAAAAAAGGATAATTTGTTTTTGAAACCGAAACTAGTGTGCTAGACCGTCGCTCTCATTGGGTCATAAATGTTAGATTATCTGTTGCTTACCTTAAAGTATTATCTGCTGAAACGATGTCGACAAATTACTTCACGAATGTTGCGGCTTGAGACTCATTATTCGATTTCGGACGCAAAAAACACAATTGAGCAGTAGTATGGTCAAGAAGTGGGTTACGTGAAGAGATATTAACTGTTCTACAGTGCACTATATTCATTGAAACCTTTGAGTAAGGATAAGCCAAGAAATTCGCTATAGCTTGATAAATTTTGCAACAATTGGTCATAACGACTTTCATTCTTGGAAGGTATCGCAGAAGGGATAAAGACTCTCTTATCGAAAAGGTTTGAAGGTTGATAAACAAAACAGTAGAGTGGTATCTCAATAAAGAGGCAGCGAAAGGATGCAACATGGATTCATTAACGCACTCAATTTAGCCTGTGTGAGATGCACTTCTCGATGCAGTTATCCATCACTAGAGTTGGAACAACCAAGGCATTGTTGTTTGTCACTTGTCAAGTCATTTTCAAAAGAAACAATTTGTATGCGACAACTGTAATCTGCATTTGATGTATCCATTTCTTTATGCTGTACTGAGTTTGTGTAATCAATATGTGTGCCTTCGTATGTATTTCGCATTCTCGCTAGGAAATTTACATGAATTACGAAGCTCTAATTCATTTGTCTTAGTGCCCATGCAAGGCCTTTTTCCTTGAGAAAAAAACGCACGACCGCCCAAAAGGATCCGCTCCCCTGATTTAAGCCTCAGTAAAACCTCCTTTCAAACTAATCACCTATCATAGCTAATATAGCCCTACCACGTCCAGTGAGTGTCATTTTGATAAATAACATGTCAGATAACATTGTGAACCAAGTTCAACGAATTCTGAGGTTTCCAAGTATTGCGCTATCTAGTAAAGTGGTCATTTTAGAGCATCGTTGACTATGTTTTGCAGTAATTTGGTAAGCTCTTTTTGCACTCAGCACAAAGCGCAGCTCCTCCTTGGTTCACTCAGATTCCATTGCAAACAAGATATAGTTTTTTTTAAAGGAGGAAAAAGATTTATAGGCATTCACGAAATTCCAGTAGGAAAAAGATAGTAGCTTCTGTAGTTGCACAGCAACGTCAGCGAGGAGAGTGTGGAACAACGTCCCCCTTTGGTTTCAGGGAATAAATAGTTTGAGAGTCCGTTCACAGAAGTACCTAGTGAAAGTGTGCCTAGTGATTTCTGAACACTTTCGAGTTTTCAACATAAAAAAATTCATAAATTTTGTAGATGAATAGCTGGCACGCGGAAATTGTCACCATCGGAGCCGCCTCGTCCTCCGATTTCAGAAAACGTATACTTTGCCTGGGGTCCATCAAAAAGTGCCGGGTAGGGTGGGTGAGACTTTATAATGGAAGTGCTCAAGTAAAGTAGACGTCTTTTCACAATGGTAAAAAATCCTCCACTTAAGCACTCCCATTATAAAAGTCTCACCCACCCTTCACCCGGCACTCTTTGATGGACCCCAGGCAAAGTATATATTTTCTGAAAGCGGAGGGCGAGACGGTTTTAATGGTGATCATCCTGTCGTACAAAATGTTCATATACAAAAGTTATGAATTTTTTCAAGTTAAAAACTCGAAAATCTCCAGAAATCACCGCGCATACCCTTCACCAGGCAGTTTTTGGACGGATACTTTTTTTTAGACATACTGTATATCATTCGAAACGGAGGACGAGGCGGTTTTGATGGTCACTGTTTCCTTGTAACAGCTATTCATCTATAAAATATATAATTTTTAATGTTGAAAACTCTTAAGTGTTCAGAAATCACTATGCACACCTTTCATTAGGTACTTCTATGAACGGACTCTAGGCAAACAATTTATTCTCTGAAACCAGATGAGAACGTTGAACCACGTATAGCACGGAACTTTCCTCGCTGACTTGCTGTGCAGTTACAGAAGCTACTATTTTTCTCCTCCTGGAAGTTCGTGAATGCCTATAAATCTTTTTCCTCCTTTCCGATGCACAAACAAATCCCGCACAAATATCTCCTTTGCTTAACCTTACCTCAGTGTTGTTTTTTTTCTCGGCTTTTGGTGAAGGGGGTCACCTCGGCCCCGCTCAGGGGTGAAGGGGGAAGGGGGGGGGGGGGGGTGAGCGAATTCTTACACTATCGCACCTATGATTCGCATCATGCTGTAGATCGAAGTTGAAGCCAGTTTTACAGAATGGTGCCCAAACGTCAGCCAAAGACTCATGTTATTAACGGGTGTTATTAACGATCAAAATGTGCATATATACATGGACTGTCTTATCATTAATATGAATATCACTTCGATTACAATCCCCTTACGTGGCACACACCTTATTCCTTATCTTATTACATGTATCATTCCTTCTGTGACGGACAAGTTGTACATTGTCCATGCACTTGTTTAGCCGCCGGGTCACCCTCATGCCTTTAATCATACACTTGGGCGGCATCTACTTTCAAGTAGGCGAAACTCACATTGCATTTTGATAACACTGCTTGCCAAAAGTTGGCATCGAGGCTATCTCTGTCCAACTGAGCAGTATAAAGAGAATGGATGCCAGGTTCTAGAGTCGTCACTATCGGCGGTTGTGTCCAGTTGCCGTTTGCCTACATTCCCCAATAAATCGTTGTTGCCGCTCAAGTGGTCCTCACCAAACCTTTTGACCTGCAATCTTCAATTTTCTGGTTATTCAGAATATTACTGATTATTTATTATAAGCAAACATGCGATCCTTGTCCAATTTGAGAACTCACGAACACCATTTCCAAAAATTTCGCTGCTATTTCGCGGAGGATAGGGAATGGATTGACCTGATCTCCCTGTTTTCTTCCTATTACCTCGGTATTACAGAGAACCGCATCCATGCTTTTTGATATCAATCTTTTATGCCTATTGCTCTGTTTAGAGCAACGACAGATTGCTCATAGCACAGCGATTTGGCTGCCGCTGTAAAACAAATCCTTTGAGCAGGATGCTGTTGTTCTGAGGACACATCTAAGAAGTTTTCTTGATGCAAGTAAAACGGAAAGATTTGGTTTGTTGCTTGGTTGCTTCAGAGTTTCGGACATTCGGTATAACGAAAATGCATGTTCAGACTTTTGTCTCGCAATAATAGTAAATCATAGTCGAAGCAAAGCACCCTTTGCTTAGACAATGATTCAACGAAGGACTTACACAAAGAAGACTTCCACTTCAAACAGCTGCCACTTTTTTGTCTTTGTTAAACTTTGCAGAGGGTTGTCAGTTTGAAGTAGAAATCCATTTTTATACCACCTTGAGATGCATCATGAATCTTACTAACACAACCCCCTCAATGATTACATTAGCTGTTTCACGATCGTGACGCCTCCGCTGCAGTTTTCTGAACGCATCCGTTTATACATCATTTTGTAGACGCATAACTTTTGTCGTTAAAAGTGTAAAGAGAAGCAGAAAGTGCTTAAGCGTTCACATTATTATCAAGTGCGCATATCGTTTATCACTTTATGTAGGAGGTACAGCTGCGGACGTTTGAGCTGTCAGCAATATTGCCAGCATTTCATGTTCAGCCAGCACTATGAGAGGTGTCGTCCTATTGAGTGGCTTTTCCCTGTTCTTTGCATTTGGATATTGCAATCAAGATGCCAAACGTCTCTACGACGACCTTATCAACAATTATAATCGCCATAAAAGGTGAGGGTTTTTTTTGAGTATAGCTCCGTTGTCTCATACATGCTACTCCAGATTTGTCTCATACGTGCTACTCCAGATTTATAACAGGGTATACATCTAGGTTGTTCAGAGAGTTCTTTCCAATTTACAGATTTTTTGATCAAAAATGTTATAACTCCCTTCACTATCAACATTTCTGCGCAAATTGGATTTTGTTGGATTAAGCGAGACTAAATATCCCAATTTGACGTACAAATGCTTCCATATAAGGAAACGCAGACATGGCTGCCACAACTGAGTAGCCTATACTTCAGAAAATTTTTCATGGCCAAAGAGAATTTGAGCTATTTTTGCTGCACAGAAATTTCACGAGTAAATAAAAAAATCCATTACTTGAGCCCTCCTCTGCTCGTGCAAGTAAGTCGACTTTTTGATATTGGACTTTTTCTTGCTGTCGCAGACGAAGAAAGCTAAATGGACGATGGTCCCCGCTTGCTCTCGCTTTACTCTCTCGTATGCATTATTGAGTGACCACCGTTCGCTATACGTAAACTTTCGTTACTTTTGAATAAGTGAGTTTGTCTTCCACCTTTGAGAAAAAATTCAAAAGTAAGACGTTCGTTTTGTTGGAGGTAAAGTGTGCGTATGTTAGCCCATTAGACCCTGACCCAATATAAAATGTTACATATTTAATTTTACGAATATTGCGGGTCTCTTCACATACTTTTTCTCGAGCATGACTGCATTTTGGTAGTTTGGCTTCTGGAATTGGACTTTTATCACTGAGAAGATGTTTCGTGTATTAGCGAGCACTGGAAAGAGCAAGAAAAGTACTTTCAAAAGATGTTAATATTTCTGCAACAAGTACAAAACTCCAAGAAACTATAGTTGCGTCAAAACAAAGCAAATGGATCGGACAGAACTTTCGGAACAACTTATTTACTAGTTGGTGCAAAATAAGCGTTTTTCAAGCCTTGTTTCAGGACAGCTTTTTGCTTTCCTCCTTGACATACATTTAGCATATTGTTGAAAAGCTCTTTCGGTGCTCTATCTAATGGTTGGTCATACTAGCCTCATTTGTTAACAAATTGCTGTGCTACAAATAACCTACTCAAAACCAGAATTTTATCGCATTTACTTTTCTGGCCACATTTCATGCGCGAATAATGGCATTCATTCGAAAATTCAGCTGCTGTATGTGATAGAGGTTGTCTACATTATGCACACTTGTTATTAGGGTAATCGGTAAAAAATGGGGCAGCTTGATTTTTATTAAATTCTGAAATTTTTTGTTTCGATCAACAACAAGCAGGCTGCAACGTTAACGTCGTTCATACAAGCGACCTTCGCCTATTATTCTGGCAAAGCGTCAACGCTCCTCTCCCACAACCTTACGCTCGGCGCCCTGAAGAACTCGAACAGGGTATTTTGAACATAGCTCATTCTTGTGCTGCCATACCGTAAGGTTATAGAGCAATTGATAAACATTCGGAAGAGCTATTCATGCTCTTTCAAACAATACAGGGTGTCCCACAAGTAAGTACACACTTTTCAATCGTCGATATCTCTTTTCCCAATGCGTATTTTTCCGCCATTCAAGTACCGTTCTATAGAGGAGGCTTCAACTTAGATTTACAGTATCGTGCGAATTACCGATCTCTCTTCTTTACTGCAGCATTACGGTAAGGACTTCCAGCATGTGGAACCATTGTGAAATATGCCAAATGACAAATTTCTGAAAAATCGTTTACTAAGGTTTTCGCGCACGCTGATTCCACTACACAACTTTTTACGAGTGTTTCCAGCTTTTTTGATGGTGTAATCATATTTCTGACAAATACTGGAAATTCGATTATCACGCTTTACCTGGGATAACTTTCGAAAGAAGCATCACAGTACTGAAAATTTCATATTCGAAATCAGCGGCTTCCACTATCACAGTATAGGAGTTTTTGGCTTGTTTGGTTCTGTTTCGAAGCATAATATGGCTTCCAATGGCCTAAAATTCTTGTCGAAATTCATATAGTAATCCTACAGTAATGAAGAGCGATCGGTAATTCGCTCGATACTGCAAATCTAAGTTGAGGCCTCCTCTACATAATGATGCTTGAATGGCGAAAAAAACGCAATGGGAAGAGAGATATAAACGATTGAAAAGTGTGTACTTACTCTTGGGACACCCTGTATATTATTAGGTTGTCAAGAAAATAATGTCGTTTTTTATTTGCTTGCTTTAACAAAGCAACCAGACTCAACCCAATAAAGGGTGATGGGTATTGTTCGATAGAGCAAAGCAAGCTCTACAAGACGGCGTCCATGATTTTGCGCCAAGCTCGATCCACGGATAGTCGAACTCAAAATCTGAAGATTTTCAAATGCCCGAAAAATCGATAAAAATCAGATCTTCGTCCAAATAATTTCTACGGACCTCCCACTCGCACACGTCAGTCCTTTCGATATCTGATATCCATATGTGCAGCTGCTGTACTTTTTTCTTGACTAAAAACTGAGAAAACGAAAATTTTCGTGTTTTTCTAAAAGCAATGCTGAGCCGTTTTTGCATACGTAGTTCTATACTACAAGCCTAGGTAAGTTTAACTATAGATTTTCAGCCTATTCCGAGCGGTAGTTTTTGAGAAATGTCACTTTTAGCACTAAAACTGAGAAAAGGAAAGCTGATTTCGACATTTCTCGAAAACTACTGCTCGGAATGGGCTGAAAATCTATAGATATACTTAACTAAGCTTGTAGTATAGAATCACATATGCAAGAACGGCTCAGCATTGCTTTGAGAAAAACACGAAAATTTTAGTTTTTTCAGTTTCTAGTCAAGGAAAAAGTACAGCAGCTGCACATATGGATATCAGATATCGAAAGTATTGACGTGCACGAGTGGGAGGTCCGTAGAAATTATTTGGACGAAAATTTGATTTTTTTTTTCGATTTTTGGGCATTTGGAAATCTTCAGATTTTGAGTTCGAACTATCCGTGGATCGAGCTTGGCGCAAAATCATAAAAGCCATCTTGTAGAGCTTGCTTTGCTCTATCGAACAATACCCATCACCCTTTATTGGGTTGAGTCTGGTTTCTTTGTTTAAGCAAGCAAATAAAAAACGACATTATTTTCTTGACAACCTAATAGGTTGTCCCGAAAGTTTTGTCGGTTTTTTCAAACCGCTATAAAACTATGCACAATGAAGATCTGAACGAACTTCAACATGCATTCGATGCACCTTCTCCTTCTCTTTCTTACGGTTACATTTACATTTCCTAGCAACAATCCTATATGCTTTTTTTGATATTTGTTACAATTCTTCACGTCATTTTTATCTGCCCAAAGTTAGGCTAATTTTTAAAAATTCATTCCAATGTTCCGGAGGTGTTCAAGTAGGGCGCAAATAGAACAATTCTCGGACTACAAGGCGATATTTTTAGATTCTCCTAAAATGTTGTTTTTAGCTTCAAAAAATTATTTATTCGGAGGTCTCGATTTTTGGCAAAGTCTTGAAACACGCAACTGCAGCAAAAACATGGAAGCTCTTGAAATTTTTGCGAATTGAAACTTGATTGCTAATAAACAATAGCTATGCAACATAATCAAGTTCAATTTGCTTTGAAAAATCAGCTTTTTGGAACTTTTGGTAACTTTACGTGGTAGACGTAATCAAAAAGCCGCGGTTTTCTTAAATAAATAATTATAACGGACTTGATAAACGTGACCCATGTAATCTAAAGTAAACACAATGTAGCCAAAGATTTGCTCTACGTAACAGTTACTAGCGCTCTTCGGAAACATCAGAATAAAAATTTTTAAAATTCAGGAAAGATTTGGCGTTAGTGCTGAACTGCTTAAAAAACCATTGCGATAATATTGCAAAGACAGGGTAGATCAGAGAGCAAATATAGCACTCAGAAAGAGTACAAAAATTTGAATCAAATGATACCTAGATCGTCCATGAATTGGTGTTCTTTGGGTTTTAGTGAGCGATGAAAAAAATCGACAAAACTTTCGGGACAACCTAATATCAAACAACAGAATTTCTCTATATTTCTGGGTAAAAAGAGCGAAACACCTGAAAAATCGCGATTTTTTGGGCAACAAAAACCAGTAAATCAAGTTTCAACCTGTATTTCCGAAGACAGATAAAATGTGAGGTAGGCTGCATATGGATGGATAGAGCGTAAAAAGCTCTATCAGACGGTACCTAGAAACATGCTTTCACCTGCAAAGAATTGAATAACGCGTATCTTTGTTCTCAAAGCTGCTAATGGCCATATTCCTGAGTTTGAAAGTTGAGACCAGCAATCCATCGTGGGTCTGGTGAGTGTACCTTCACGCATTGCAGCAGTAGTATTTTGGATGGTTTCGCATGTTTCACTGCGCAGATACTGCTCGAAGTTTATAATTTGTCAAAGTGACTAACTTTGCATTTCAGCTACTTGAAAGTCATTAGGTATGTAAAGACCTTATATAGGTATTTTTTAAAAGAGAATAATTTATTCTAACATCTATCAAGATTGGGAAGTTAAATCACTTTCCTTTTTTGAGGAAAGTGATTAAACTTCCCAATCTTACAATCAACATTTATTCTCCAGGTGTCCCATTTTTTACCGATCACCCTAATATTTTCTGAGTATCTGAACTGATATATCGACACCTCAATATCGTTGCGTTCATTCTGTGGCCTTAAATTTGGTTGAAAACAGCAATCGCCAAAGTTCGCTCATTTCTGTAAGCGTGAGGGTAGGGCCCTTTTGGTAGTTTCTGGAAATACGTTCAGTTGTCAGTACGCAGAAAAACAAAAAAAACTCCGTAATTTGAAATTTTGAGGCCTTTGAAAAAATGTTGAAAAAGATGACAGTTTTGCTTTTTAATTTTCAATCTTCTTCGTCCAGGCCCTTTCCATCTTCATGCGTACAAAAAGCTTGCGGCTTCAATGGGACACTTGCCATATATACTAAAAAATCAAAGGGAATTTTGATTCAAAAAAGAGGTTTTAGAAAAAGAAACTTTATGTTTCTCGATACATAATTTTCTGCCCTTTTATAATATTAGTAAGGTAAACGTGCGCTGTATTGCGAAAGGTTTGCTGCTTCTGAAAGTGTTTGTAGCACTGGGAAATAGATCTTCTAGAAAGTTATAGTACGTCAAAATGAGAACTCGCAAAACTCTAATCATCCTTGCACCAACCCAATACATTTCCGAAAAAGCAGCACTTGAATTTCTACACTCTAGCGTTTATGCAGGTAAACGAACATTTTTATCGAACGAGATACTATGAACTTTGACTCGAATTCGTGTTAAAGAAATTTTTTTTTATTTTTATGAGGCTGTCCAAAGGAGACTACCTGCTAGTTGTAAAAACTTAACACGCTTCCATGATTTAAAAGCTTTTCACTTTTTATCTCTGATGACGTAGCATAGCCTTTCATGTGGCTCACAAATCCTTAAGATATAATTTACAAAAGAATTCAGTATACTCTTGAGAATTCAAGCACTCCTTGACTCTAAGAAAAACTTCCGTTATGGCATATTCATGAGCAAGTGCTTCCGACAATCATCATTGCAAGCAAATTGTCCAAAATATCGCAGTTCAGCCGACCAGCAATTCTTATGGTTTAGTTCTAGAACTTTGATATTTATTTGAACTTTAGCTAGTTGGTGTTACTGCTTCCCATTCTGAGCGAGCGAAGATGTAATTAGTAAAATTTATGAGCGTAATTCATGATACAGTCGCAGTGTGTATATAATATTCAAAACTCAAGATGTGCGTTACAACTATTTGATGGAGCAAAGCAAGCTCTACAGGAAAGCTACCATTTTGTTTCACAAATTGTGGTCTCACTCAAATTGGGCCAAAATCGGAAGAATTCAGTTACCCCAAAAATCGGATCTTCTCCAAAAAAATCTTTGATCCCCACTTAATTATCGCGCACGTACACATAGTAAAAGCATGGATGTAGCTGTTGCGACTGAGGCTAGTAGCCGAAATAGGTTACACGATAACGTCACCTTTTTTAGTTGATGTATTGAATGTATTACTTGCTGATTATTAGAGCACATCCATGGATAAGATTTTCAAAGTTCTATCTCTACAAAATAAATGTACATGTGGAACGCGTGATTGTGTTCGCCAATTTTTGACTATTTTCATAAACGGCCTTGAATATACAGAGAATGCATATAACGATTTTTGTGTATTTACAGGCTCAACTACAGTTTGTAAAAAAAATTTCCGAGGCTCAATTTTGGAAACATTTAATGTTTCCAAATTTTAGCTTCAAAGTTCAGGTTTGCATATTACGATTTGCGCGGATGTCTGGTAGTCATTTTAGAGAGCACGGTGGAATAGCGCTCCCATGCATCTCCATATTCACGCTGCCGCTGTACCAGAAGATAAGCTCATTACTTTTGCACCAACCTGTTGATTACTCGACATCACTAGGAGACATTCTTTCTTGGGATAGGCCGCGGGTTGAAGACTCCCACGCTTGAGGTGCTTGAGGTTGGACTTTGGAGCCACATTGAAGAAAATCAGAGCTTTCAATCATTTTCATCATATTAATCATAGTACTGTGTGAAAGTATTCCTATTTTTTATTTCGTGTCTGTCCAATTTCTAAAGCGAAGCTCATGGTATCAGTACATGAGGCTGAAGATTATTTACGAAACTAATCACCCCGCCACCCCAGCGTGGAGCGAGTCCGTCGTGCTTGACCGCTCATGCAGCAAAACTCACTCTTCTTTTGATTCCAGTGGGCTCGCTCTTACCTTGCTCAGCACATTTTGATGACCAGCAGTAAAAAATGAGTTTTGACGCTTGTCTTACATGACTATCGGGAATTGCTGGTCAAAACGCGATCTTTTATTTTTTCCAAATGTGTTTGTGGACAAATCAATAAGTTTATTCAAGAATTCAATAATTCGCCGCAAAAAGAGCGTATAGTGACCATCGTGTCGAAAATGTATCGGCAAAGTTTCAGCTCAGTCGGTGCGCGCAAGTCTATAGGTCAAATACAGGGCATGTGCACACACTGATTTTCTGCCGCATATATAGAGACGATCATATATTAACTCGTTAAACTAACTTCTTTTCAGCAGCATAATCAAAGAGCCAATAGTAATGATTTGATTCAGAGAGTGAGTGTGGCTGCAACAATCAATCGCATTTTTCGCGCTAAATCTTAGCACATGATCCATCACATAGCACCTAGTGCCTCATCACATACAGCTTGATAGATTAGCCTCACTTTGTAACAATTTTTTCAGCATCAACTTACCTTAGCGCTTGTGTAAGCCTTCACATAAAAAAGGCTGAAAAAAAGTATATTAGATTACACAATAAGTTGTGAAACGATTGTCATCAAGTTCCCTAGCAGTGATCAAAAAAATAAAGGATAAAGGACTTGGGTCTTCAGCATCCTTTGCGGAAATGCGGCGAACGCACTCCACTTTATAGTTAAAGAGGCTACTCTAAGCTTGCGATCTTTCACAATATACTGCGAGGCCAGCCAGTTACCAAGTCAGTGCTTTTATCCTCCTAGATTACTGTACCAATTTATTGTACGCGGGTAGAGGGCTTGGGCCCAAAGACGGGATTTAACTTTGGTGCAACCGCGGCGCTTCATACACCACTACGTCACTAGCCCTCTTTTTCGGAGATGTAATTAATAAATTGAACACGCGAAGAACACATATAAAAGCTGCAACGGTAATACGTACTTTATGAAAACAAGTCCGGATGCCGTTATCGCTGTATTGTCAACACGCATACACAATCATTAACTTATTCGTCGTCTATTACACTATACTTACTGGCGTACCACACAAGAATGGGAGCTGTTCGTGACAGTGGCGGTCGCAGGATTACGGACCGGGGTGGGGGGGGGGGGGTAGGGGCGCTAAAAGAAATTTCTGAATGAAAATGCGTGGCGTTAGCCACGCATTTTCATTCAGAAATTTTTGTGATGCTTCTCAAATTTTTTGCGGCAAGCCCCCAAAATCAAGAAAAGTGGGCGTGGCGTCAGCCACGCCCCCAAAAAAAATTTTTAACAAGGCTAATTTGAATTTTTGAAATTTTAAAAATTATTTCAGTTGTTTACAAGTAAAAACAAGTCACTTGCACATTTTTATAACCCATATAAGTAACTTTCAGAAATTTCGCGACCCATTGTCGGGGAGGGGGGGGGGAAAAGTGAACGAAACAAAGCGCATGTATAGTAGCACTACTCTCCTCCTTTGTTACAGCATATTGAATGAAAGTCGGTTTCTTCAAATGTATATAAAAAATACGATACGTACGAATGATATTTACGGTCGAACCCCGACACTTATAAGTGAACAACAAACACAATATGCAAATAGTTTTATTTGCAAACTGATTTTTAGAAGATGAGAAGAAAGGCACAATTAAAATAAAGAGAATATAGATGACAATATGATTGGAAAACGAAGGCAAGAGCAGTGACCAGACTTGGTCAATGCAAATATCACACTATTAGCTTTAGGCTCAAATTGTAGGCGTAGAATTAGCTTAGTTAGGGCTCCGCTCATCTCTATCTCTCAGACTCCGATCTCTCATCGGCGTCTGTATCCAGGGTGTATGTGGCCACACCCATCCCACTGGATTCAAATCGATCCCTAAAGAGCCTTTGAGCCACGCCCATCTCACTGTCGGAATCTACGGATCTCAACAGTGTGTGTCCGCGGGTATGACAGCCGCACTCCACTAATTCGATTGGTTATTGATTGCCAATAACTCATGAAAGAAAGAAAACAGCCAAAAGAGGTACTAATACGACATGAAAGAATACGGCTCTTAGACAAACCTCCTCCTTCCGAGTATAGAGTCCCGCAACGACTCTGGATTTCCAACTAGCGTGAAGGGATCCACTCATCCAGATAAAGGATGAAGGGTTAGAAAGTGCTGCTTTCGCCATTTTCGCATTGACATGTTGAATAACTATAAATAAAAATTCTTGGGTATAAACTTCCAGCTTTCAAATAAAGGAAACTGCAAAATGTTTATGTTGATTTTTCAGACCAGCAAGTGGACCACACAAGCCAGCCACTATCAAACTGCAACTGAGACTGAGTCAAATCATAGACGTGGTAAGAAGAGCATACATTACATGAATTTGAGATTTAATTGAAAAGTTCAGCATGAGATCAACCAAATTATGACCTGCTCAGTATGGCTGAAGCAAGTATGGATGGACAAAAGGCTATCTTGGGATCCGAAGAAATATGGTGGAGTCGGTGTCCTTTACGTACCTTACGAGATGATTTGGGTCCCTGATATCGTACTCTACAATAAGTGAGGCCAATGCCATTTTTGAATTGTGTTATTTCCAAAAAGCACGACTTTATAGCGCTGATAGTTATTACAATATCACAATATCCACTAAGGCTACTTTGCATTATTCCGGCCAAGTTACTTGGGAACCTCCTGCCATTTTCAAAAGCTTGTGTCAAATCGACGTGCGATGGTGAGTATCACAAAAACCTTTAAAGATAATAACATTTTTCAGGTTCCCGTTCGATGAACAGGAGTGTTATCTGAAGGTAAGAGCTGTGAGAAACTGGATGTCATCAAAGATTTCAGAAAAGTGTTCTGCAGTCCACTGTGGTAACGGAACATGTCCGTTGCCTGGTCGAGATGACTAGGAACAATACCAGATTGCAGTGACAAGAGTCGAAGTATATTGCATGATGGCCTCATAACTAACACCTCAACATGTGCTGCAAATCCTTCCGAAAAACGTTGTACATAATTTCTCAATTGCGGGTTGCAACTTGCAAGGCGTCTTGATAGGGGTGCCTTGATATAGAGGGAACGACGGCAATCATCGCAGCTGCGCGGATATACCAGTAATGAGTGATCTTCACTTTGACGATAGGTAATGGGCTCAGAACACTGCATACGCCGTTTCTTTTGCAGCATCGACTATTACTCGCAGGTGATCTGTAAAAAATATACATACCTCAAAACAGTCTGATTTAGCTCGTAATGCAATATTTCCCCAATCTTTCGCTACTCTGGTTTAGCTGTAAAATTTATCCTTTATCAAGCGTGGAAAAAGCGAAAATGAAGCTCTAGATGATAACGTTGTACAAAATGCTGAAAGAGATATGAAGGCAATGCGCGCAATGAAAACAGTTTGTCGCGCATTTTCATCGTAGAGTCAACACTGTAGCAAAGCAATGCTGCGAAAGTGTCTGTCTTGGACAAAAAGTTGCATTACTTGCTATAGAAATGTGTATGAGATCTAACGTCAAATAAAGGCACAAGACTCGGGTTCACAACGATGTAACCACCCACGTGTAGCGTTCTCGGTCAGACTGATGTTGCTATTGCGCCTTCGCCCGGCAGCAAATTTGCATGTTTCACAGATCTGCGATTAGGCAATGTTGCAAAAGAAGAGGCGTAGAAAGATTTGAGCCCACTTTCTTTCGCTTCATAGTTGCAGCCACCAATACTCGGCTGTTTGTTGCTTACAAGGAGAGAATACTTAGTCGAAAGCACCAATCCAGATGAGACATACGCCATTTCAAAGCGCTTAAAACGCTGATTCCAAATCTGCAGTTTCTAGCTGCGGAGCGATTTTATAGAAGGAGTTATAAAGGGTGTTCCCCTCTGGGGTTGGGGCGCTCTCCAGCGGTCTCCCCTTATCCGTAAGCACTGTAGAAGAGTATCAGCTGATGGCAACTGACCCAATGGTAAGTAACTTGAATAAAGATTACAGTAAGATTATAATACTCATACTACTTTGGTTTTTTTAACACTTCTGCCTTCGATTAGCATCACTATCATCAGAAGTTTCATGCTTTAGGGCTCTAAAGTCATTTAGAAGTTCAATTTAGCATGCGAAAGAAATAAAACCTTGACACTCTCTTTATCAAGCACGTCGCTTACCATTAGATCAGTTGCCACCAGTTGGTACTCCTCTACAGTGCTCATAGGTAGGGAAGACCTGGTGGAGGGCGCCCCAACCCCAGAGGAAACAACCCTCATAACTCCCTCTACGAAACCGCTCCGCAGCTAGAAAGTGCAGATTTGGAATCAGCGTTTCAAGAGCTCTAAGATGGTATATGTCTCATGTGGATTGGTGCTTTCGACTAAGTATCCTCTCCTTGTTAGATGCAGCCACTGTCGGCGTCCCTCTATTCTAATGCCTAAGGCATACCTTGCGCGATTTCGTCAAATCGCTACATCCACGCGACTTGGCAATTTGCCAGATATTCAGATCAATCGTGTGCGGGATCTAAGTGCATAGGCGTGTAGCTACTGTAAGTTATAGCAAAAGCTTTAAGTCTGGCTCATACAAAGCGCGCTAACGACCAGTTACGAAGAGTCGCTGCAGTGCCAGATCGCGCAACGATTGGAACCGCGTGAAGTATGCCTTAGACCCAAGGCGATCCTCGCGACTCGCAGTTAAATCCTTGAAGGCAGCGTTGACCCAGAGCCTGTGCTGTCCAGAATACTGTAAGTGGTATGTGACGGCCCTAGATGCAGAGCAATTGCGTTGGTATGATCTCCCAATCTGTCTCCAAAAGTGCTATCCAGAATACTGTAAGTGGTATGTGACGGCCCTAGATGCACAGCAATTGCGTTGGTATGATCTCCCAATCTGTCTCCAAAAGCAGAAACTGGACGTGCAGGGCTCACTGAGTAACTATATTCCTAGTGCATACAGCGACATTCGGTGTTGCATGCAACGGTAATAAGCAGGAACATTCGTCCACGCTCTTCAAAATATTCTAGAACAGAGCTTTTTTGGAGTATTTGCAACTCATACTCAGAATCAGGGCCATGGAAAAGTCAAAGAATGGCAAAAACGTTCGTTTGAGACGAGAACGGATCGCTGGACGCCGCTTTCAAACCTTCATCCAGCCATTTGCAGCAGCCGAGGTCAAATATAAGATCATTCAAAATCTACCGCACAATATACTCTGGTTTCTTCGCTGGTAACCCATTCGACACTTTTGTCGTGAAAGCAAAACATTAGGTATTGTCTATATTGAAATATCGTAGTTTGAGGTATGGGCTCTCAAATTTTCGTCTATAAGATAAGTAAGAAACCGAAACTAATAACATATATCGTGACTGTAAGCGGCTGTGTTTGACATTGCTCTGTATACAACTTCATCTTGTTTTCTGTACATTCTGCTCAAATTCCAAATTATAGACCTTCAATTCCTTTGCTTCTCTTAGGCTCATTGCTATTTTTCGAGTCTCTGATACAAATTGAGTTTTCGAGTCTATTTTCTCAGCTGATAACCTCACTAGGTCAAATACTCAGACCACTTCTGCCCGTAGTTCTAAAAAGACTGTTTCTGCTTCTTAAAATCAAGTTGCTAGGGGTGAATTGCTTGATGTCATTGAATGACAACAATCTTAGCAACTATAATTTTGGAGAGGGAGTTTGATCCAGTAATTAAAATGATGCTCCTAGCGTTGGAGAATAGTGTTTCTTTAAGTCTTGAGGCCGAGAAAAGAAGCCAAAGCATGAGTTAGCGGACTGTAAAAGCCTGGATAAGCTCTGAAGAGGAAAGCCAAGTTTTAAAGAAGCGTGTTTAAGGTTTAGAAGCCTTCCTCTCCGCGCGAGTAGACCGCTGGCCTACAGAGATCGGTCGCATGGGCAAATACGATAGAAGTAAACCAAGAATGGTCAAGATTGTTTTTCCCTCCCTTCGTTTATGGATCCAGGCACTATCTAACTCTCTCTTCTGCGGCACTCCGACCATCGAACGCGCTTGTTGGTAGACGTATGAGCTTTTCGGAGTTTGCCATGAGTTAAGACAGGTGGCCAAAGAAAGGAGCAAAGGGAAGCCAACTACATGGGTGAACTCCATATAGCAAGGGACGATGTGATTTAGGCCAAAGTGTTTTGTGTTTCTTTTTGTTTTTCTTTTTGGTGCACTCTCGTATATAACATAAGTGAACAAATAAAGTACAACTACACTAAAATAGCCGCTTTGCAGCTGGTCCCTTGCGCACTCACTTCAATAAATATTTGAATGCGGGTAGCGTCGCGGTTACAAACCATCATAAATTTTCAAATAAAACTCAAAAAACTTTCCTTTCTAAATTTGAAAAGTCACTGTTCTTGTATTTGCTCTCCTCTCCCGGGGAAATATGAACGCACTTCGGATAATGAATAGTGGCATACATGTTCAGTTCGGTTCTTGGACATATTCCGAAGATTTGATTAATCTGGAATTGCTTGACGACAACGTCCATTACGAGCAAGAGGTCGACGAAAATGGCGTTGCTTATAACATAACTGTTGCAGACGACGGAATAGGTGCTTTAGAGGAGCCACCATTTGTTTAAGAAAACTTTAGTAAACATTTCAGATCTCTCCGACTACTATCCTTCCGTGGAATGGGATATCATGTCAAGAGTGGGTATCCGTCGCTCAAAAAATTACCCGAGTTGCTGCAATGATAGTCCATATGTCGACGTTACGGTGAGCCCTTTGTCGTAAGGTCGTCAATATCCATAATGGCACAGTTGCAGTATTACTTGAATTTACGACGGAAGCCTTTATTCTACACAGTAAATTTGGTGTTTCCGTGTGTCGGTATATCATTCCTGACAATTGCTGTTTTCTATCTACCATCGTACTCTGGCGAGAAGGTTTCGATGTGCATATCAATTGTGGTCGCATTGACTATGTTCATTCTATTGCTCGTAAGTATTTTACCTTATTGTATAAGTATTATCTTAAGAAACATTCCTTCTCCAAAAGCATGCGTAATGTCCCAAAAATACGCATGCATTCTCGACCAGTATCAGGCTTCCAACAAACAGTTGGTGGTAAATAGCTTTGGCCCTTAGGTTAGCACAACAGATCTTTGGTCGCTCTCCAACTACTGTATGGTTATGGTAGCAACTTTTGAAGGGTTTTTCAAGCACCAAATAATGATACTTCGCCAATCGCCCTGCTGATAATCATCAGGTTGACTCAAAGTGCGTGATTTGCGAAGACTTTGACCAGCTATTTTGGCGCTTTAGCCATGATTTTGCTTAAGGGTTTGCTAGTGGTGGACCCGACTCTTCGAAATTTTTCCACTGAGGAAGATCCATAACTTTTCTTGCCAGCTACAAGCGCCAGAGATTGCGAGTTTGGCTGGCATAGCTGTATCACATATAAAAGATATTTCGAAAAAAAGCATTAGCGTTAGATTCGTAAGGTGCATGCAATGAAATTTTTATCCTGAGTAACTGCTGAAAATTTTATCTAATCCCTGCAACGAAGGCTGCAAGCATACTTGAATCATTCTAACAATTGTGAGAGAAACTTCCACTAGTATGCGATGTATCTAAAAAAGAATGCAAAGGAAATTTCTCGAAAAAAGGTCCTAGAAATTAAACAAATAAAGTATCACAGTATTCTGACACAGTACTCTCCTCGTTTTTTTTCATACTTTCTAATTCTCTATAATAGTTGGCTAGCAATAGTAGTAACTCAGACCCTACTTTTTTACTCGCTTGTTGTCAAATATACATTTGAAGTCAAACGAACGTCAAACGTTGACGATAAATCGCTCCAGATCTTGTTTTTGTTTAATTGAGCTTTTTCTCCAAAAGTGCAAAACTCTGGGTGTATGTCAAGAGGTGCGTTTTTTCTTACCAGAACACCAAATAGCGCAAATTTAGTGTTTAACAGCGTCTCAGACAATCACTGGGGGCAGGCGGGCACCGGAAAAATAGATTGCTGATTTTTCGCACCCCGCTCGCGGATTTTTTGCAAAGCAATCAGGACTTTTCGGAAGACCGCTTGCTGAATCAGCGGATTTTTGAGAGACCGCCTGTTGAATTTTTTTCGCTCTTATCTTTTGCAGATATATTGCTGAATCTCTGAGGAATCGAGAACTCAGCAAGCGGTCTTCCGAAAAGTCCTGATTGCTTTCCAAAAAATCCGCGAGCGGGATGCGAGAGATCAGCAATCTATTTTTCCGGTGCCCGCCTGCCCCCGGCGATTGTCTGAGGTTCTAAAAGCATTTAAACTTTTGATAGAAGGTCGTTGCATGGGCTGTTCAACCTTACTATCATGAAATAAATTTTGAAAAATAATCGGTTGAGATAAAAGATCCGTGAAAATACGCTAGTGGCAATTTTGTAAATTTTGATCAATTCCGGCCAAAGCCTTCATAGCTAGAAAACTTTGTCTGGTGATCTTGAAAAAGTGGAGGAGGCTCGCCTCTTGACCATCACTCCAAAATTCTTGTTGCTTTGCTACTGATCTTACGGTTTCTATAAAGAACTAATTTTGATGTGAGATCTGCGACCTCTTTGTCGCATGGGTGAGAGCCCTATCTTTCTTTTAGAAGCAACAATTAGCAGTATTGAAGGTATCCCATACTCAGATAATCGCCGGGGGCAGGCGGTCCGCAAACTCGCGCTTTTCTGCAGGCGGTCAGCAGGATTTCGGGGCGTGGCCAAATCTTCAGCGGGCGGTATTTGCGTTTTCTGCAAGCGGGCATCAATACAAAATTTTCTGCAAGCGCTCGTCAAACAATTCCTTTCAGCGAGCGCTGGCCAAACTTTCAGCAGGCGCTCAGACTCTTTTTACGCAGTTTCGGGCGTACGCCGAGAAAAGATGAGACTCTATGTGGCAGAGGTGCCATCGATGGTTTTATTACCCAAGTTTGGGGTACTTTCTTTCAGCGGAAAGTACCTGAGGGCTGTGCGGTCCTTCAAAAAGGACCGTGCGGCTCTCAATAATTTTGCATGTTCTCGCGGAAAATCCGCGAGAATGCGGCCACTGTGCCGCAACTTATATATAGAAAAACCGCGGTAGATCTTCGAGCGTTCGTCTAAAAATTGGCCAAAATTATTCCAAATTTCTGCAAGCGGACCACAAAAAATCAGCGAACTATTTTTCCGGTGCCCGCTTGCTCAAAATTCGCATGGCCGCTTGCCCCCGGCGATTATCTGAGTATTTGGGCACCATAAAACGTCGACGTCTAATGTTTGGTAGAAATTCAAGAAAGTTGACACCTTAGCCTTTTGGACATGACACCTTAGCCTCTTGGACATTTCATAAAGCTTAACTAGTCTGTCTCCGAACTGTGAGAAGTTAGAGCAACTTCTATAGATTTAGAGAACTTCAGAGGTACAGAAGTTGAACAGTATATCTAGGTGCATTGGATTCCTGCTTAGGATAACTGTTTACATTGAAAAAATTATCGATTTTGTCGTACATCTGAATATATTTTTAGTTTGAACCTTAATTGTGAGATCGAAAATGTTCGTTTCTTTCTGAGAAATATTGGTTTTCGCTATCACTAAAGATGGGTGGTATATTTCTTCTTATTCGTTTTCAAACGCTAATAACATTTTTGGAGACATTAAGTATTTCATCTATGTACCTATACGTAAAATTATATAGAGTATTACAAGTGGGTCGGGGCAGATACAATATCAGGGCCTACTTGTGACTACAAAGACTTCTGAATAAGTTTCCTACTCCTTTCCTGAGAACATTTTTGCGAAAAGCATTCTACAAAAAGAGAAATGCTCGAAGAAGAGATAGTCTCCATAAATCATTCAGCATTTCTCGAAATTCCTGCTGCAACCATGCATGGAGAATATTATTTTTTTCTCGTTTACCACGCTCTCTTTCTGCAGATTTCTCCTCCTCACAGAGACATTCAGATAACAACCTCCTCCCCCCACTTTTTTACCCTCTGAAGGAGAATTTGCTCTTCCAGTTCTTCTCAACAAGTTCCACAGAAGATCGTTAAGTAAGTACCAAAACACCTATCATTTTGGAAGTAGAAATATACCCATAACAACTATGTGTACTACAAGAAACACTTTTCTAGAATCAATTCCGACAGCAACGAAATCAATCTCTAAGAACTTTGACAGAGAATCCTTCAATTTTTCCCCCAAAGGAATATGAAGCTTTACTACCAAAGGAGATCCCTCCTCGAAAAGCACGACTACTGAGCCACCTGAAGACCGTTACTCATAAGAACGGTACAGCAAGTTTGTTTCCCTGTCCGATCAAAATGCCCTACGTGCCGCTTACAAACCAATATTATCTATCTGAAAGACAGTTCATGCCCTACGTGCCGCTTGAAGACCGTTCGAAAATTATGAGAACTGCCCCAAACGTACAAAAATCTGTTTCCCTGCCCGATCAAATTGCACTACGTGCCGCTTACAGACCGATAGTAACTATTCAAAGTTTATGCCCCATGTGCCGCCTGAAGACCCGTATACATAAGGAAAACCAACCTTACTCCTCTACAGAAAGAAAACATCGAAATCGAGTATTTACAGCGTATTCTCAAATTGCCGTACATGCCACTTTTGGACTTTCAATTCTGAGAACTGCTCCAAACGTATGAAAAGTTTCCCTGCCCGATGGAATTGTCCTACGTGCCGCTTACACACCGATACCTAGTTGAAAGCACCAGCTGGACCCAGTTACTCAAGCAAAAGCAAGGCTGTTGATAGATAAACGCTTCCAAAAGTACCAGCGAGAGCAGTTGCTCACGCACTCTCTTGTCTACACGCGGAAGCAAGATAATCCTAAAGTGACTGTTCTTAAATTAGAGCATTTTTACCAAGAGTTGAGAACATAGATGAATTTAGCTCAAATCACGCTTTTACGCAATTTTGCATCATTTCAAAAGCAACTAATAAGAGTACAACATATTTGAAAGACACTTTCTGGGATGACAAGCTCGAAAAAAAAGCAGGTAGAAATAACACATCCGTATGCAGGCGACCCAGTCTCAAACTCATTGCGAACTTCATGATTGCCTTTCAAAACACGTGTGACCCTTTTACGAAAATATGCCTGGTCACTCGTTTTGAAATTTGGCAGCGTTCCAAAACGCATGCCACATGGCAGCAATCCAAGAATGAACATCTGTACATTTCATCATAATTTTACCTCTGCTGTCTCCTCGTTTGCCGTGTTCCACGGACCAGGGGTGGCCAAGCGGTAAACAACAAATCCAGAATATATTACGTAGTAGTGATTTCTGCAACTCAGGTTTCTGGCTTGCCTTCTAATGTACTCGTACCCCATATAAGCTAATGTAAGATCTGCGATCTTTGGGCTGCATGAAGCGCCCTGAGGCATTCCTTTTATTTATTTATTTATTTATTTATTCATTAAATACATCGTAAACGATGCACAACCTCAAAAATGAAATACAAAGGCGATTAAATATGGAACGGGGTGGGAGAGAAAGGCAAGAATGATTTCACATTTGCTCTCACTTTCGAGTCGTATCCAGTCCAATCTAATAGAATTCTTATATAATTTCGGGAAAATGATAAAGCTCAGGGGTTGCTAAAAAAGGCCAACATTGTTAGAAATGTGACTTCTGAGAAAGATGCCGGTTGCATTCGATTGATGTAGGTAAATAATGTAATTTATCTGCTTGTACAAAACTATGTTCTTGCAGACTGAAATCATACCGGCAACTTCGATAACACTACCACTGATAGGGAAATATCTCCTGTTCACAATGGTGATGGTTACCTTAAGCGTGTTTGTTACTGTTGCATGTAAGTAATTACGGTGTACTTATGTGCTCGAACCGACAGTGTTGAAGCATTGGACGTGCACTTTCGCACACCGAAAACCCATTCCATGCCAAAATGGGTGAAAGTTGTATTTCTCAACTGGCTACCGAAGATTTTGTTTATGCGACGGGTCGAGGACAGAAATAATTCCAAAAAGGCTACTTTGGACAAGAACTATGGTCGAGTTTCTCTTATTTCAGCAATCAGCTTTTGACCAACATCGTGCCTCTTATTATAGAGCTTACATCGCTTGAGGGTAAAATCCCCTTGAATTACCATGTGCACCGCTTCAGCAATGATGCTCCGGTGGATGAGAGAATACAGAAGCTCTACAAATCGCCGCAGGTGAGTATGTCAACCTACATTTTTTCCAACCGCTTCAAAGTATAAGCTTTACGGTGGTACAAGCTTTCGAAAACATCATATTCATAGCGGAACTGCTCAAAAGCAATGAACGCGATGATAAGGTATGGCATAGCGTTATAACCTATGTTTTCCTTCAATGGATCTTTTGAGGTCGATGAAGATTGGAATTTTGTTGCTATGGTATTAGATCGACTTTTCCTTTTCATCTTTGCTGGCGCGTGCTTTTCCGGCACCATGATGATACTACTGCAGGCACCAACGCTGTACGACTACAGAAAACCTATAGACTTGCAGTACCGGCCAGCTAACCTAAGTGGTATTTTCTGATTTTGTGCTTTGAATGAATAAACTTCACATAGATTCAACTAAGTCGCAAACTAACACAAAATGCGGAGTTAAGTACACTCGATTGAGATCAAAATCAGTGCATTATTCGATAAGTTGGGCAAAGCGTGTCGGGGTAAAATTGTGCGCTAACATTTTTTGGCATCACATGGCTTGTTCCTTCAAGCAATGACAGACGTGCGAAAACTCATGAATGACGAATGTAAAAACACTGAAGAGTCTTTAGAAGAGAAGAGACACTGAAGTCAAAGAAGATTAAGTGTTAGGCCTTTACTCGTGATGATAGAACACATTGAATATAATTGTTGATTAGGAATACGTTAAATATGTGAAGATCGGTCAATCAGTAGGGAATAAGGGTGTATGCGGATGGAGATCGTTAGTGTAGAGCAGCGGATCGGACCTTTGTGAGCATAACGCTCTGGATGGCACCGTGTCTTCTGCTTTCTCTTCCTTTTCGTCTTCGCTTCTTCAAGGTTTTCGTGCTTTATAGCTCGAAGCTTTCCCGACTATGGCATCGAAAAACTAGCCCCAAGGTAAAAGTATGTAGCCAGTCATCATTAGCTGCATTTACTCCCTGGACTGCATCTACTGTTAAGAGGCGGACTTTTGCGTCAGCCGTTTTATAGCCGAAACCATCGCTTTTGGTAGCGATGGTCCATCAACTGTCGTAGACCCCCATAGAGTCTTATCAAGCTTTGGAACCTTGTATGAGAAGTCCATATAAGCTCAAAAGAGCAAATATGCAGAAGCTCCTCGAAAGGCATGTAAGGATGAGTCGTACAAACAAGAGCGACGCACACAGCTTACCATCACTCAGACAATGGATCGGACCCCTCCGCTGGGGAAATGGCAGGGTCGCGGCGTTTCCCCAGCGGTGGGTCACCCATTCGTCCGGCGGAGCCCTCCCATTTCTCCGGCGGAGACCTCCCATTTCTGCTCCGGATACCCCCCATTTTCTGCTCCGGAGACCTCCCATCTTCTGCTCCGGATACCCCCCATTTTCTGCTCCGGATACCCCCCATTTTCTGCTCCGGATACCTCCCATTTTCTGCTCCGGAGACCCCCGATTTTGTGCGCCGGAGCCCCCCGATCGCGGCATACTGTAATTAGCCCTAATTAAAGGCAGCTTTCAGGCAGATCTGGACCTATGGGGCTTTTACATGGAAAGTATTTTTGGGGCCCTAACTAAGGCACTGCCGAAGCAGCAGTTCAGGTAGTGCTCTAATGGCGAAGATATTCCCCTCGAAACAGACCCCCCGCGAACGTATTCGCATGGATTCATGGCAGTTTCGCGCCAGGATCCGCGCTTTGCGCCATGAATCCATGCGAAACACGGTCGCGGGGTCCGGTTTCGAGCAGAATATCTCAGGCGTTAGAGCACTACTTGAGCTGCCGGTTGGGTAATGGCTTAGTTAGGGCCCCAAAAGTACTTTCCATGTAAAATACCCATAGGTCCAGACTTGCCTGGACGCTGCCTTTAAGCTCCAAACTCCAATTTTGTCTCTAAACCCCATCCAAATAAGCCGAATAGGACCCCCCCCCCCCCCGGGTAGGAGTTTAGCGCGACCCTCACCCCGTACTCTACCCCCTCCCTCTCACCCCTAGCGTTTGTGGATAGAAGATAGAAGAAAGAACGAAGAGATAAGACATTTATTTCAAATTTTTCAAAGTACTGGCAAACAGCACAATGTAGCCACGAACGAGCAGCAGACTGGTTGAAAGCTTTCTCAGCAAAGAAGTTGACAGACTCATTCGCCCATAATAAGGCTTAAAATTACATTTAGAATACAAGCGAGACGAATACTATGCAACAATTGATGAAAATAAGCTATTTGAATGCCAGCCAAATTGTCCATATAAGAACTATGAGCGGAGACACCAGCAACCAACAAGTTCATCACATTATAGATAGATACAGTTAAAAAAGCTCGCCCCATCAAGAGAGGCAGCATTACAGTGGCAAAAAAAAAGAAAAAAATCAAACTAACATATATTGTTTTTCCAAGAAGCTCGCAGAATAGATGGGGACAGCTGCGACGGAGGCAACGGCGTGTGTAAGGAGATGAACTCGTCGGAAGACGATGAGCCTCCTGTAAGGCTATGATGAAAACGCTACCTAACAAAATTTTTGGGATTAGAACTGGCTACTGATATTGTGTAATGACTCTTCACTAATAAATAACTGAAAATCTACCAGTAAAATCGTCATCGGTTCTACGTGGCCTTTTCCTATAGGAGGTTGAATGTCTTGTATGTCTAATGGTACCATATTCGTCTTTTCTCCTTTTTCCTAGATATATCATGCCATCGAAAGAAATGTGCTACACAACTCTGCTTCCACATACTGCACTGAGCGCTATCGAAGCATGGGGTTGCCTTAGGCATATACCAATAAGAGTACCATTCAAAATCATCTCGACGATATTTCTGCATGTAGGGCTAGAAACAGCGCATAAGAAAAAGATTTGTACAACGTGAAAATCGGATGCGCACCGTCATATCAATTTCTACGGTGTCTGAACGGCATTTACACAGAACAGCATTCTTTCCGAAATCTATCCAACGATCTGTAGCGAAGTTCGTGCTTTCCGCGATAGTGTAACCCAAATTAAAACCCATATGATAACCTTAAAAATACAGTATGTTACTAAATGAATGGCTGTGGAAATAAGCGCTTACATGAGGGAATGTTATGATGAACTCATTAGGATGCTGCATCATCGTCCCATATGGAATCCTGTGCATATCCAAGAGAGCCGGAAGTACAGAGAAACTCTTGTGTCTCATGAAAGCCTAAGCACATAGTACCAAAGTGAAATCACCAGGTAGCTGGTTATAATACCCACTTTACAGTGGCGATCGTATGTAGGAAACTGCTGCCGCATGAGCCTTTCGAAGCGAGTTGCAGCTTCCGGAGGTACGGCAAACCAGTACTAGAATTCCAATGCCGCGCAGATGTATGCTAATAGGGAAAAATGACCAACTTTTGGAGCTCCATAATGAAGATAATTAATGGAGTAAAGCTCCATATCCTCCACATGTCATGCAAAAGATGCTCCATACATACCGAAGTAAAGATAGACAGTGGTAACTCCCCTAATCTCCTGAAAAAAAAACTATAGTATTTATCAGAAAAAAAGATTTTTGATCACAAAACAAACTTTTCCTCCGTTGAGCTCTTTGGTTTCATCCAAAATGGTCCCAAGCCTCTTCATTTTGAATTCTGGTACGTTCTCATCATAGAATGATCCCTCCGTGTCAGCACCATAGATGGGATGAGAGTTGACCATGGTTTTGAAGTAATAGCTGTAACATATTACTTTGAGCAAAACAAAAAGAACCTGCCAGTGACGCGATTTCACCTACGCGATTTGCGCAGCCGCCGCAAACGGGCTAGAGTGTATACACAATTCATGACAGGATGCTACCCTGAGACGATGACGAAAATTTTAGAGTTCGAAAGTAATAGGAACTTTCTAATAGAAATGAAATGCACAATTAAGATGCTGCCTCTTCTGCAGATTGCGCTTCGGAGTGCTCATTACTCTGACTGAGTTTTTTCTGTTCATTAACGATCGTCTGGACAACTTCATTGAAAGAAGTTGGAGAATCAGCATAGACGTGATGTCCTGCACCGCGAATAATCTGAAACCAAGCATGACATGCAGGTAGTATGACGTTTAAACCTACCTGTACGTCTACATATCGAAGTTGAAACACAAAAAACAAGGCTATCAGGTCACAAATAGCGTTGATAAACTAGAACCGTCAAGTTCAGTCGTATGGAGTCAAAAGGACAGCCAAGCAATGGTAATATTTCGTAATATTTCCATCCAACACGGTTTAGAACACGAAAAAGATTTCTGAAGATGCTCTCAAAAAACCTCAAAGCTCAAACTCACTTAGCAACGTTAGTACTCGCCTCCATTTCGTGTCTTATGTCATGAGGTAATCTCCTGAAATACAATATAGAGACGAAATTTCAAAACATGTAGGACAGTGCACAAGAGTAGCAAAGGGTATTGATTAGAGTGCATTTAAAGTAAACATCCGAAAATGGCCGGACAATGCGAGCTTTGTAAATACGAAGGTGATATTGTTTTGGCTTTACAATCAGATTGAGCAAGTGATTCTGATTAATCAAAAGTAATGAAAATGAGTTGCTCTAGTGAGTTATTTTTGAGGAAACCCAGCAAGCGCCTAAGAAGCTTGGATCAAAATGAATCTATTGTCCGTTATCCTGATGAACTCCAAAAACATTTCCAGTAATGAACCAAGCTTTTCCGTTTCTAATACCCTGATGGAGCTCCTATCGATCGAACTCCTACAAAGTGAAATCTTTCGTGTAATTACGACTGCAAATCAATATCTCTCATGCATTTACGACTGGTCAATCAATTTCCGCATCTGCCCGCAGTTCCCCAAGGGGATGCAGTAGTTGGAATGGGCAAACCATCGACCGCGATTTCTCTATTTCGAAAACACAAATAGTGCAATCAATAGGTGATAACGAAAGTTTGCAAGTAGAACTGATGCTCAGAAACTTTGCTTGACTTCCCACTTTTACCGAGACACTCTGGCGGATATAACTTGAAATAATAATAGCATATTTGCTAAATACGCTAACAAGGTATAAATTGAAACAAGCATTAGCGCTGACAACGCTCCGCCACACGGGGATTGCGCGCGAAAACAATTGTTGGAGGAGGTAGCAATAAACGGATAATTTAGACGATATACTTTCATCACAACAACACTAGATAGTTGCGCAACTAACCTCATTGTTTCGAAAATCCAGAATTAATCACAAAAACCACTCCATCAATAGTCTACGATGTCTCAGCAAGTCGGAAAGAGCCAAACACTGAAGGTGATTGAGTGCAACCGCACGAAAATTTCAAACATAAACCTGAAAACGAGGAACTTACAGCAACATAAACGCCAACGCGACGAAGAGCAACGCGGAAAAGGAAAAAACGGTAAAGAAACGCGCAAAAACAACAGAATCAAAGAAACGGCGACTAAAATATGGACAAAGAGCGTAAACAGAGGACTCATCACCGTGGAGTTAGACGTTTGCTTGCTACGCGCCAAATCGATACGCAGCCTGCTCCGGATACCTCCCATTTCTCCGGCGGATACCTCCCATTTCTCCGGCGGATACCTCCCATTTTCTGCTCCGGACACCTCCCATTTTCTGCTCCGGATACCTCCCATTTTCTGCTCCGGAGGCCTCCCATTTCTGCTCCGGACCCCTCCCATTTTCTCCGGCGCGACTCCGCCAGATTTGCCAGGCTCGCGCCGGACAAATTTGTCCGGCGCGAGCCTGGCAAATCTGCCAGGGTCGCGCCGGAGAAATGGCGGACCTTTGCAGCAGGGCCGGAGAAGCCTCCCATTTGCCTGGCAGTGATGTCACGCGAGGGACCGCCCATTTGCCCCGCTCTCATTGGTCAATTGGGTCCGGCGCGAGTCTGGCAGTTTCGGCTTGCCCAGCGGAGGGGTCCGATCCATTGTCTGAGCAGGCGCGAGAGGATTCTGGCGGAAGAACATGTGACTTCAGTTCACAAGAAACGGTGAACATAATGAACCCGATATATGTGTATATATGCATTATCCAGCAGTAATACATACCGCCAACATAAAGGGTGTATTTAGAGGTAGATAGTTTCAGCTCCTATTCCGCGACGAGGCCTAGCAAAACTCGAACGTTTTTATGGCGATGGTGGCACAAGTCCCTATGGCAAGATACATCTATGTAGGAGATATCCATACCAGCTCGAATTCTATGCAAAGTTTCCATTAATTCCGCACATCTGAAAGCTCAAAGCAGTATAAATCACAAAATGCCTGGTACCAGAGCGGAATTTTACCGTGACCTTCCGGGCATATCCCAGCCTCGTCTCTTTGCTACATGTACTACGAAGGGAGCCTCATCAGCGGTGTAACCGCAGAAAATGGACAGCTTCTTTCCAACATCATTGATTTTTCCAACCCACACCTGAGGTTTATATTGTGAACATCAATGGTTAGTTTACCAAAATAGCACAATCCCATACACCGGATTGGGGGAGAAAGTATGTCAAATCCTCGTAACTACTCTGGTTAGCAAAGTGATAGCACCTAACAACATCATCATAATCACTTTTTACAGAGAACTATAACGAGTTTTGTGGAAATCGCTTCACGATCAAAAGTGCGCCTCTCAAAGTATGCAGTCCAGAAATGCGAAAAAGAGGTATACTGATAAAATATCAAAACGCACTTCCACAATGAGGGGCTATTTTCTCGACGATCCGAAACTCATAAAGGTTGCATTGACAAGATGTCGTCAAGAACAATTCGTTACGAATTGTCTGTGATTACTCCTTTAGGGGATGGTCGTTCACAGCCTCACCCAAATTTAAACCTCAACAAAATTGCTTTTATGAACACCGGAGGTATTATTGAAGAGCAGTTTTTCTTAGCATTTTGGCACTGTGCTTTCAGACTTGGATTCTGACTGAGAAAAAAGATTTACATCAGGATATCTCTATAGTATACAAACCGGAAACATTTGGCAGACGACAACATGCTCCTTCGTCTTCCACCCTTACGCCTCCTGTCGCGGATTGCGCCCCCAGCTCCCAATGTCAGTGGTATCATGGCTCTCCTGCATCGGCGGTATGAGCCAGGGGTCCCATCCGGGATAGAATGTAGCGTAAAGTGTGGTGACGTTACCTGTGAGAATGCGAATTCCGCCTGCCACACAACATGCCATGCACACATAGAGGCCCTTGCCACCAGCTTACTTAGCAGTTACTCGACACCTGCGATTCGACTCATACTCCCAACTATTGACAATTGGGGCGTGTACATATAACCATGGCAATACCCGGGGTCGTGCCAGCCTTCTAACAGATCTATCCCGCTAGGCATGATTACAAAGTACACATGAACATGATGACATGAAATATCCCCGGAGCCACAGCCTAACTGTGGCTCACCGCATCAAAACAAGTACATGTAAAATGTCCATCATTTATCCACAACAATTCCCTAAACTCAAACACAAAGGTGGAGCACAACCAGCCCGGTTATCCTAGGAGCCGACAATATCGGAAACACCCCGTGGCGGTGTCGCCGGCATGTGCCAGGCGCGAGCGCGCATGGGGTACCTCGTCTGGGGGTTGCCTGTCCTCCTTGCCGTGTTGGATGTAGATGACGCGTGAGTTGGGGACGACGCTGCATGATCGATGGCATGGGAGACGAAACTGGGACCCAACCGCTCACCAGGTAACGATAATGACGACTGATTTGAAAGCTGCGGTAGTGGCGGTAGGAAGGCGGGAGCAGCGCGAGGACAGCGTTTCGGGACCCCTTCGCAGCGCGGCGGCCTCCTTGAAAGGAAGTCGCGAATCTGCGACACCTCCCCTCAGCGTCACGAAGGGAATGTAGTTAAGTTTGAGCGCGAGACATTATACTGTCTTACAGAGGTTTATACATGAATAAAGACGTTTGGTGTGAACCAGATGCGTAGGCATCATGTTAATAGAGACTGCTCACTAAATCGTAGATCAGTCGTCCACAGCTTTGGCAGCTGAGTTTCGAAATCATCATAAAGCCAGAACTGACTCTTACTAATTTCGACGCAGCGGATGGCCGCCACTAGAATGGTGATATGCTCATTTTGTAACCACCCCACAAGAACGAGAAGAAATCGAGAACTTAGGCCTTGTTTCAGCTGCCAACTACAGGTAACATTCAGTCAGTTTTATAAAAGACAGGGAAAATTTCATCTTTACCACAAAATACATAGCGAAGGCTCGTTAAAAAACTAAATGAGTAAGCTGCGCTCGCTAGTGAAAATATGTTTTTGCACTTTTCACGATGGAGCAAAGTCTTTCGAGCAAGAATCTTTGTTTCACACACATTCAGTCTAGAAAAAGATCATGTGCGTGCAAGCTGCTAAATCATGTTTCAAAATGTTGAAATCAAAAAAGCTGTAACGTTTTGAATGGAGAAATCCGCAAACAAGTTAACGAGATTACTG